TGTACCTGATGTAAATTTGGAAGACATCCAGTATGAAACAGCATTGGGAAACTGTTGAAGTGACTAAATGAAGTGACTGGAATAAAAAAGTATGAAATTACATAGCAACATGTAGCAAACTGGAGGACCAGTAATAGAAATGTCTACAGTAAGCTGTGGACTCACTATTATAAGGAATTTAGGGAAGGACCTGACTGCATTTTCTGGATTGGACAATGTTTGCAAGGACCAGCCTAGTGTAGCTTTGAAAATCAAATCTTCAAAGATGTGTAAAAGAAGTGATTTTCAATTGAATTTGGGAAGATTTCATGCTACTGTACAATGTCCTAGTTAGATTTAATCTGGAATACTGTGTACTTTTATGGTCATACATGTTCAGGTGGGATCACATGGGGAGAAAGGCTGGTAGGATAGAATGTGAGAGCTTTTTGTGTAAGACTGAAAAACTATTACTTGCTTACCTTAGCAACAGGAAGACTGGAAAGCCTGTATTGTCATCTAAATCGGTCAGTGGTGTTGTCTTCAAGGAATGGGAAGACAAATACATGTTGGCCGTAAATACCAGAACATGAGGATTCCTGAAGAATCGTCCACTAAGTATGGCAGGGATAAACATGAGCTTTCCTGTTGGATTCAATGAATTGGTGAATGTTGTTACACGATGCAGTTGTCTAAAGCAGAATTTAAGGCCAAGGAGGTCCACTTGCAATCCTTTTTCCAAGATTTTTTAGGTCTGCCCTAGACCTTTCTAGGTAGACACTGTTGGAGTGCTGACTGCTGATAATTCTCCTCTCACTACATTAGGACTTACTGTTTGCACCAGATAATTTCATCTGATAGACATACTTTAGCTAGCTACATTGAAGTATAGTAATGAACAAAGCTGTATGTACCACATATTTTAGTTGTGTTAGGCTTTGAATCACATTGGAGGCATTTGTGTGTGTGCATCAAGTTTAAGAGTTAGTTTCCCTGGATTTTTAACTTTAATCCTGTGGGTTTTGTCCAAGGTACGTGGTAATGACTACTGGTTTACTACAGTGTATTTGAAGCAAAGAAGAATCTCCCTCATACGCAGCTTCTGTGCTGTTCTGCTTTAGCTACAGTCTGCATTGACTGGATTTTGGGGAAAGGACTAGATTTGTAAATGAATGAAACCTTAGTGTGTTTTCATGGTGAAATAGGGGAATGCTGGAAACTAAAGATTAAAGCAGGGTTCAGAATATTGTTTTTTAAAAGAAAATACTATTTACAGAAAGGAAAATAATTCAATATTTCAATTGTTCTGACTGTTGTCACATGTAGAATAATAGAAATGGTTTTGCTAAAATAAAACTTTTTATTTAATCTTGCTTTTAAGTAAAGCTGTTACAGCAATTTCAGAGCATCTTCTACTAATTTAGGGACAGGAGAGGACAGTGTAAGTGGTAAGTTTCATGCAGGTACAACTGACCTTTACATTAAATCCCATTAAAACATGTCACTGCCAGTATTTTAAGTAGTGGCCAGAACATGCAAAGCATCTTGGCAAACAGATTTAAGGAGCGTGCAAACCTTCTTTGCTGTTACTGGGGAAAGTTGTTTGGCATGAAGCGTAGTTAATCCAGGTTTTGAAATAGCTTGAGCTCTTCTGCTCTGAGTGGATCTCAGTGGAAAGCACCTGCAGAAGTATTCAAAACGATTCTGCTGCCCAGCTGTGTGTTCTGCTGCCTGGCACCATTTGTTAGGTATGAAAGTCAGGCCTGTAACTGTTGGTGGATGGTTTCTTGTGTATTGTTCACTTCATAGCCTGGGTTCACCACCCAGTAAACTGACACAGAGAAATGTGTGACCTGTTCTCTTGTATTACTGTGGTGCTTGATGTACTGTGATTTGTTTTAAAAGATCATCAAATAATGACATCAAGACTTCAAGCTGGATTTGTCTTTGATTCTTCAAGAATCTGAGATTATCATTGATCTGTTGTTTCCTTGCAGAAAGTCATTGCATCTGAAATTCATTATTTTGTAAGTAGACAGCTATTAAAAATACATTAATAATATAAAATGACTGTAATAGATGCCTTTAAAAGATTGAAAACATCTTCCTTCTGTGGCAAAGACACAGGACTTCATGAAGCTACTTACAAGACAATCACAATTTAATTAGTCTCAATATAGTTTTCTTAACAATAGCTGCTTGCAAAATGAGCCACCCTGTGTGGTGTCATGGGGTATTGTTTTGGTATGTTGATTGCCTATTCATTGTGTCTCCCAGAGGATGCTGGAGTTAATTACTTACCTGATGCCTGACCACCAGTCAGGTTTACTTTACCAGGTCAGAAACACGGACAGTAATCTCAGCAGCATAGAGATACCCTAGGACTAAAACATACAACAGCCAGCAGATCCCAGAGAACAGCAGGATTTGACTAATAAGCAAGCACTGCACATATGGACAGAGAATTAACTGGCATTGGTTTTTATTTGAAAGTCTCCCAGGTATTGACTTGCAGATGGGTGGACGAATGCTGTGATGGATGAAGGTCATATATAGGACTCTGCTTCTAACCTGTCTTGCTTTTCTGGTACACCACACCTTAAACCCATAATCGCAATAGCTGTTTCTCTGGTCATTTGGGGTTTGGATTTTCATTCTCTGTTTCCAGGCTTGTCTGAGTTTTTAGACTTGTAGATAAACCCACAGGATTTAGTATCCATGTATTACGTATACAGCTTTACCAGTATTGTTATTTTAAAAGCTTGTTTGATAATGGAAATAGTGCTTACAAGTTGATTTTCCTAATAACAGGATCTGATGCTCTTCCTGAGTAAGACTTTTTGACTTCTTCAGGTTTTGTCTATAAGGAAGTAATCTTTTTTGATTCTAGTGAAGTAGTTTGCAGCATTGTGTCTCCTCAAATCCACTGCAATAGCTATAAAATTACTGCATTCTTCCACCATGTTTTTTGCTTCTATGTAAACTTTATGCACATGTTCTAACTGATAGACAGTTAGGCATGTCCTCTGTGTGTTTAAATACATGTGTATATCTATATATAACTTTAAAATAACTATCAGAGGAATTTGTTTACAACCCCCCATATGCTGGTTTGTCAAATTATTGTCTGTCAAATCTGTTTGTGTCTCACTGCATTAAGCCTAATTCACTGCTTTTCTGTCAGAGATTGAGGCTTTCTCTTTTTTTCCTCTTAATCTAAGTCCATGACACACTCCAAATTACAGCTAATTTTTCTAGTGCAGTAGCTAAAGTTTGTGACCATGTTTTCTCTGCACAGTGTTAGGTTTATTTTATTTTTTTAGCTTACCTTTATTAAATAAGCTCTGGTACCAGCAAAAGAAATCCAGTTAGCTGTTAAATTAAACAGACTGTTGCTCTCAGTAATTTGGTGTTTGCGGTTCATGCAGGACAGTAATAAATTGTATTGGTCCCCAAATAAAGATTGAAATCTGTGGCACATGTATGGCTTCAGATTCCCTCTGCTTCCCCCTTCCCCTTCAGGGAATGAAAATCCTTGCCACCTTGAAATTATCGAGGCCCTCAGAACTGTGTGAAGGGTAATGAAGAAGCTGGGGTCTTGAGGGGGAGGAGGGAATGTCAGAAGGACATAATTCAGCTGTGATAGATGAATGGGTAAGGAAAAAGTTGGAGGTATTGGCCAGCCAGAGTGGAATCCTTGTCTCTTGGGGCTGTGCTAAGAGCAACTGTGAAGATGTGATTTGAGCACAGCTTAAAAAGCATCTTGCATCCACTTCTAGCCAAAAAAAGGTGGAGGGCATGTGTGTGTGGTTTCTCTGCGTTCGCTACCAAATGGCTCCGTGATTATGCTTTCTCATGTAGCGTTAATAGGATCTGTTAAGGACATAACTATGATTAATGCAATGTTAATTCAAAAATTTGAGTAGGAATCAAGGCCACTTGAAGTCTTTTTAAGGACTTGCTCTATTGTACTGGCCTTTTCACACGCAGGTGGTAATTTTCTCCTCAAAAATAAAATGTTGATTCTAACTGCGTACATGGAAGCTTTTTTATCTGACACTTATGTCCAAAATTAAAATGCAACAACAAACACATTAATGTGTTTTGCAGTCTGTTCCTGATTTAAGGAAATACTGACTTTAAGGGGTATGCCAGTGCTACTTTAAAGCTAATCCTTTTAGCTTTTGGTGGTTTTGTTGTTTTTCTTCTTCTTCAGATACTGTGCCCCTTCTAGTGGTAGGGGCAGAGGTGGCAGGAGTAGCTCTCAGCAGCTGCCTTCTTTCTGCACTCATGCTGGTCAGCATGAGGTCAGGTGCTTTAAAATGGAGAAGTAACAGACCTTAAAGTTACAACCTGTTCAATGTGTGGTTGCTGCTTCTCATCCCAGAGGGTGGTCGCCTTTCCATGCCTCTGTCTAACAGAAACAGGCTGGGGGGAAATAATGCGGTGTGTTTTGTGTGCTTGCTTGTTTTTGAGCTGGGGGGGGGGGGGGGGGGGGAGCAGTGGTGTGTGGGGGAGGTGGGGGGGTGGTGGTGATGAAAAAAAAACCACAGTAAAGCTGCTGTGGGAATGCTGTAGAGACTCTGTGTAAGGGCTAAATCATGCTGATCACAATTTTTCTATCTTTCAAGTGTTTTGTGTGATTTAAAAAAACCACATTTGATCTTAAAAAACACCACCTTGTTTCTGACATTAAAAATGTTTCTTTGAAGCTAATATTAGTTTGGGTTTTTTTAAACTTTAATTCTCAAATTAATTTGAGAATTCTCAAATTACAGCGCTAAATAGAGGGTTTTCTATGAGTTATAAAATCCAGTAAGTAAAAATGAAATATAAATGAAATGTGAGTTGAAACACATTTCTATTTCAGAGGTGTTTTTTTTTTCAGAGGCTGTGAGAGAAGAAATTCTGAAATTAGTTTCTAACCTACCTGAAAATGCTTGGATTAGTATGTCTGAATGTTTTTTTTAGCGTGTGGGGTTTTTTTTAACCTAATAATGTTTGTGTATCCCCCCCAACAGGAAACAGTCCTCAAGATAGCCCTAGGAATTTCTCTCCCAGTGCCTCAGCCCACTTTTCTTTTGCACGAAGGTAAGAGGTTGTTTGTAGTATGCAGCATGCATTTTGCATAGAGGAAATGTTGTTGAACTCAGATGTTAGAAGATGATTGCAAATACATCTGTCGAGTCTATCTCTTAGAACGACAAGTGTTATTTCGTTTATGTAAATGCTCCTAAACCTCAGTTGCAATGTCGTACTGGATGATTGATGCAATGCAATCATACCTTTTTGAATTCAAAAAAAAAAAAAAAAAAAAAAGACTTAATTGTAATGGATCTAATTCAGACACTATCTCCTCATCCATTGAGATATAGGGAAATTTTAAGCTACGTCTAGGTTTTTTCTTACTTTTTTTCTTAACAATGTAAGAAGTGCATCGCTTATAAGAGCACTGTTACAGGGGCCCTGAGTTCAGGGCCTGATTTTAATGGCAGCAGCAATACCATCGCTATAACTTTAATACCTGACCTTGACCTGTTTCACTATCTGTACCACTGAGATAGTCAGCTATGCCATAGGCATGTTGTGAGGATTAATTAATACTGGTAGAATTTTGAAGATCTAAGATGAATTTGAAGTGATATATGAAGTAAATTATTCTTAAATGAACTGTAACCAAAGTTGATAGCATTTCATGGGAGACTGCCTGTTTGTGCCAGTGTGGTTCCCTGTCACTTAACACCTTGTCAGCCTACCTCAAATAATATGTTCATTAACTCTAAGCCTGGGAGGATAGGCAGAGTTTACATGTTGACCCAAGAGTTATATCCACAAAAAAAAGGAAATCAGAATGCTGTGACTTTCTTTGTCATTAAGCAGTGCCAGGCATGTAACTTGCATTTGCAATGAGACAGCATTTGCCGCTATAGTTTTACTTCCTTTAGTTTGGGAGTTCAGTAAAGTAGCATGCAAAAGTAACTGCAAGGAAATGGCTTAACTCTTTAAAAGCTTCAGAGGAGAGACAACCCTTGTATTCCTTTTATCTGAATAATTAATCTGTGACAGATCTTATCAATCTTTTTAATAGCATGTGATGTCACTTTTTTTAATCAACCCCTTAAGAAAGTTGAGTATTTCTTTTGAATCTACTTCCTCTTGATAGTATCTTTAAAAAAGTAAAGCTGTCTCTTCATAGATTACATTTGTTTGTGAGCGTATTTTTAGAAGGATTCATTAAAACCACAAATAGCTTATAATGGAAAAAGCAGATGTGAAAGTCTGAGTGTTACGTAGAAATTCAGTGGGCTGGAATTAGTTTTCCTTTCCCACCCATAATCAACAAAGTTTAAATCATTATGTTTTTGCAAACCTTAAAATTCAGGAGGAAAAACCTAATTTGTTTACCAGTGTTTCATTTTGATTTTGACCAGCCCTGTAATGGGCTTTAAATAAGTTCTTTAATTAAAAGAATGCTAACACAAGAAGTTTCTGTGATTTCAAAATATTTTGCCACTTCAGTGGGATTCAAGAAACTTCTTTAGAGCAGTTTTCTATGGAAACTGATTTTTGATCTATGTTTATAATGAAAATGCTTAATGACACTTAAGTTTAAGACAACATTAATGTAAAATTTTCTTATGCATCTGGTATGTGTGTTGTGGTTGTCTTCATATAACCTGTTATAGGATGCATGTTGGTATTAAAATGACCTGTGGTTAATGAAAGCAGTTCTCAGACTTCTAGCTTTATGCCTTTTCTGTTATCTTTTGTGAATTTAGTGACAATACAAAGGAAGGGAAGGACAGTGTGTGTGTGATAGAGCAGATTGAAGGAGCAGAGGCGAGGTGATGGAGGTGTACGGGCATTCCTTTTCCATCCACTTCTCCCAGTCAGTGGGGATACCAGAAGAAGCTGGGGAAGTGTGAGGTGGGAAGGGAAAGGCAAAGGAAATGGTTTGCAGGCCTCCTGTGGGAAAGGAAGGTGGCCTCTGCCATGCTGCCAGCATTCCACAGGTCCCTCCTCCCACCTTCATCTGCCCACATCTGGATAGATAATCAATGTCTGTGCCTCTGGTAGCCACCACTTGGGCCTCTTCTGCTGGTACATACAAGTCCAGCATCTACAAGCCCATGGGTAGGTGACAGGTCCTGCTTTCCCAAGCTGCTGGGAGCCAGGTAGGAGCGCACTGTAGGGCCCGGGACAAGTGGTGTACAACAGTCCGAGGAAAACGCTGTAGAAGCTTGCTACCCTTTTCTCCCGTCTTCTCTTATGGATGTCTCCTATTCTTCCACCTTTGCTTCCCAGCTACCTTTCCGTAGTATTCCATCCCCACACTTGATGGTCCCTTTGTGCGAGAATTGCTGCGTGATGCAGGAACCCTATTCAGTATGAGTTATTCAGTAAGGAATTACTTTCTGTCTCACAGCTACAATATATATGGGTCTCACCCATGTTTAAATACCTTCCAAGTTCTCGTTCTTCCAACTGTGAACATATCTAGCTTGTGCAGCTAAAGCAAAAAGAAGAGAAAACTCCTTTGGGAATTGTTCATTCATCTGGAGGTAGCTCAAGCATACCTGGGGAAAGTGGTGAAGGAAGGAGTATTAATGAATTAAAAAAAAAATTATGGAGGAAGAGGAACTTTTTTGCAGAGTTCAGTGTCTCATACTGTCAGCAGTCCCTCTACCATATGTCCTCTTTGTATTTTAACACTAATTATGTACTGTAGTTTCTTTTCTCACACTGTATACATTCAAGGTCTCAGAGACTTGGGTTGTAGCTTGTGGATGGATAAATGGGAGTAGGAAATAAGGTGTTAGAATGGAGAGAAGCAAGTGTTTTTTAGACAGTTATCTTGAAGGGTAGGGAAGCTGCATCAAGAGGTTTAAGGTTCCTGATTTCACTCAGAACTTCAGGTCTCCTTTATGGAATTATACTTCCTGTGTAAATCAGACATGAGAGATGATCTTTGTACTGGCTGTAAAACAGAGTTTCAATTTTCCTTTCCCCTACTATCATACTGTTTGTTAATCAAATCTTGTCCTGTTCTGTTATTTATGTATTATTTTGCTTTTTTTAACATATTTGATACAATTGTACTCCAGTCATGGGCACCGAACTGACAGGTAAATGTTACCTCCTCAAAAATCCAAACACAGCTCCCATAGTTGTTTTTTGTTTGTCACTTTGAATGCTCAAGTTCCATGTTGTCTTTGTGTAGCTCACCTCAAGCGGTAAAGGACAGAACTTGGGTTTGGTTATGATTTATTTTTTTCTAATTCTGAGTGAGCATGATTTTTGCTGCAAAATTGTTTTTCCTGATTTACATATCTAACACTTAACAAGTTTTTAATTTTCTTTTCATTAATTTTCATCTGGTAGACCTGAGAGTTGTGAAGACTCCCCATGGTCCGTTTCTGTGTGTATCAGTGAGACACCAGTTCTGTGGAGCTGCTTATTCACTTTCTTGTTGTTTCATGTCAGATTTTTAACTAGAAAAACAGTAAAAAAAAATCCATAAGCCTAAGTCATCATTGCTGAATGCTTGTTTATTGTGGTCCCCTGTTAAAGTTTATTCTTTATTAAAAACCTTGCTTGTATCATGCTTTTGGAATGCAGTTTTACACAGTAATACTTCCAACAGATGTTTCTGTATTAGGATACTGCAGTGTTCATTTGACTAACCTCGGTTTCACAACAGGACTGATGGTCGCCGCTGGTCTTTGGCTTCTCTCCCTTCTTCTGGCTATGGTACAAATACCCCCAGCTCAACTGTCTCTGTAAGTATCCACTTTGCTGTGCTGATAGATTTCTATTACATGCTGTATCTTCTCAAATGTAGCTTTCTTCTCTTAGGAGAAGGCAATGTAGGTTATGGTGCTGTTGATAGACTTTGAATTAATATGGGATACAAAACTGGAATAGATGAAAACTTCAGGCAATGTGTGCTTTGCTTAGAGATGTTTTCTGGCATTGAGTAGTAGTGTTTAACTACGCCCTTTTGATCTGTAAGGCAGTAGATGGGAGAAATACTGTGTTATTTTAACCATATGGTAGTTAGGAATCAATTCTTAAGGGAAGTTGCTTTGATAACAAAAAGAAAGAGAAACCACTCTGTGATGTGATTCATCATCCTAGGTTAGACTACTGTCTTAAGATGGGATGAATCACGCATTTGCCTGTCTTTTCTTCTTTGGCAGTAGTGAGATGTTGCTGCATGGTAATAGATTAGATACTTAGTATTTTAGATGCCCATAATTAGAATAGAAGAATCCTTTGGGATACATAATAAGATAAATATAAGTCTAATTTGTTAATTTTCACCTGTTAGAGCAGTCCTTTTGATGTGATCTTCTATCAGCCCCCTTATCATGCATGTACATGGCAGTGCATGAGATCCTGCTTCAATACTTAGGATCTAGGCAGTGGGAGAAGTATGAATCTGTACGTTTGCACGTCTTGCACACCTCTATACTGGAGAGGAAGTACTGGGTCGTGTTACAACCTGGAACTAAGCTGTCTGTTGGATAGTCACACCTGAGAGACCGGGGAGATAGAGCTGTGGAAGAAGTCTGCTTTGGAAATAGCAAGTAGTTGGCATGTTGACAGTTACATTACATCTTCTGCAGTAAAGGTTGGTTAGATCCAGTTATGACTCTTCAAAAATTGTTTTGTATCTTAGCCTTGTTCTTTACCTCTAGGGTTGTATCATTAACAAAAGTAGTGTTTTATGAATTACATGTATTACTGGACACCTGATACCTGATTTTTAAAAAATATTTCTTTTACACTTTAAATAAGCTTTCTATTCCCCTGGGTGTGTTCTGTTTCTGTTGTGAAATAGTTGAGTTCCACTTCCTGTACACTGATGAAACGCGACCATTTTATGTTATGATCAACTCTTATTTTATTTTTTGTCTACAAAGGCTTCTGGAAAGTGAAGTCAATTCTTGCTGACTTCAAACCAGGTTGAGGGATTTCATGCATCTTAAGAACTGTTCCTCAGCAGCACTGATGTTTGACCTCTGCTTTCTTTTCCGTGTAGATCTTGTTTTTGCCAAGCAAATTGCTTGGTTTCACATTAATTCCCTAACCATTTTCCATAGTGCGTGTTTGTGCACCTCTCTTTGGAGCTAGATCAAATATGCTGTGCTCTTCACTTAAAATATATTGATATAAAGGACGTTATGTCAGATAATAAGTAATTGTCATAGCAACCCCATCGTTACAAGAAACTGGCTTGTGCTAGAAAGGAAATGAAAAGATGTGTCAGAAACATATCAGAACACAGTTTTAATTTTCAGTCCCTACTCATATGCTTTTTCTCTGACATCTTCAATTTTTAAATGGCAATTCTAGTTCATATACTTCTTTCCCACTTAAGTTTACTAAATACTGTATGCATGCTGGAATGTGGAGCAGTTCTATATCATTTTTGCATTTCTTATTAAAAAATACAGCACTGTTATTTCTGGACTTAGATATCTTAACTTCTATAATAGACTCATTTTAGAGTAATTTTAGTTGGAAAAGACCTTCAAGATCATCAAGTCCAACCATTAACCTAACACTGCCAAGTCCACCATTTCCTGACTAGACCACATCATATAAATATTAAAATAGATGTCTTCCCTAGCATTAAACAAACTGTTTCTGACTAGTTGAAATAAACCTGTTTTTCCAATAAATAATTTTGAATTTTGTTGAAGAAACCATCAGTAGAGAAGTCATGCCATGTATTTCTTATGGTTAGTTGTCCACAAGAATCCTCTACTGCTGCTAAGCCCTACAAAAGCACTGGGACAAGCTCTAAATTTTAAATCTAGACACTATTTCTTTGCTGCTTCATAGAGATGCTTTCCACTTTCTTTTTTTACCCACTGGGTGATATATGTGAATCAGAAAATGAAAACTGGAAGTGTGTCCATCTAATTCGTTTCATGTACTTTTTCAGAATCTCAAACAGCTAGCACTGTGCAACCTCCTCCTCCATATTCTTAAAAAATTCTTAGGGGCAATGAGAGACCACTTCACACACCAGTAGCCTAAGTGTACATACAGAACACTCCCTTTTCAATGCTGGATAAATAAGATTCACATTAATCCAGATATATCAACTGGAGACCAGGAAGAGTTTTTAGACATCACAATAGAGCACAACTTTGATCTTTACAAGCAGCTGAAAGACAAAGCAGGGCCAGAAGGGTCTGTGGTAATCACGATTATGCTCAGGTGAGTGTTGCTCACCATTTCTTGTTACCCTGGTTTCCCTTTTTTAATATTGAAAGTGAAGGCATTGATGAAATTACCAATTTAAAGGAAGCTCATGGGTCTAGAAGTAGTGCAAGTATCACATATACCAGTTCTCACAACAAAGTTGAAGTTAAATGAAAGTATCTCCTGCTAAGATTATTTGATTGAAAAGAAACTCCTGATGTGTCATGTTCTCGTGAAGTTGGATCAGATCTTGCCAGTTATGAGATGCAGTTGAGATGATTGTGTGTCTTCCAGGAGAGCAAGCCTATAAAAATGATAAAGTGAGAGAATACTCAGTTGCCTATTTTTGCCAGTAGATTATATTCTTGGAAGCTTATTTGGGTGGGGAAATAGGGTAAGGAGGTGAGGAAAGAGACTTGGTGTTACATTAGCTGGTATTGGCTGCAAAGTGGTCTTTCTCTGTTGGAAGAAGAATTTGCATTGCCATGATGCACTGTGGTGGTGCATATTAAAAATATTTTAAAACTTACATGATTTTTGGACCAGCTGTTCTAGAATGCCAGGATAACTAATTTTTTTAAGAGTTTTTCTGTGAGAATTTGGATTTATACAGAGATCAGAGTTCAGACCTCCAAGAAGACACACTCTGTGACTGTGATGGTCCCGATACAACTAAGAGTAGTTAGCGAAGGGAAGATTCTCATTTTAATTCTGTTATCTAGACTCTGTGACACCATATATGAGGAAAAGCCTGATATGGGTTATTGTCCTCCTGATCTTCCCAGAATCCCCTGAAGCTGAAGAGGTAGAGATTGATTTTATAGAAATAGCCATCTGTGGCGGTCTGTTTCAGGGAAATTTCCCTGTGCTAGAGTATCTTGTACCTTATGGAGTGTGGCTGGAGGGGAAAAGCCGTGAGGTTAACTGCAACTAGCTGCCATAGTGTGAGATAAGAAAGAACTTGTCTATGCTGTGTGCTGAATTATGCATGGTAGTGTGCTAAGGCTGAATTTCATAAATGAGTTACTGTGACTCAACAAGTTACTACCTATCATTTACTGTGGTAAATTCTTGTTGTGCATGCTTCTTAGCCTGCAGCAAAGCAAGGTAATGCAATCTTGGTAACTTTAACTTGTTCTGATGTGATGCAGCCTTCCCACACAGACCAGTTCTGTACAAATTAACCTTTCCTGGCAGTGGGGTTTCTTCTTTTTTGCTTTTAAGAGATGACTTCATGAGATCTAGTGTCATAAGTAATCTTTTCTTGAGTTCCTAAGAATTAGGATATGTTCAGCCTTTACCACACAAGTTGCCAGAAAATTATAGACTGTCTAGTTGCTGTGCTTACCAGCCTGGATACTACCTGTTGACCTCAGCGATGTAGTGGTTGTACAGTATGAAAATTTATTAATAGCCCTCACTAAGGATGTGATACAGCAAAGAGGCTCTTAGTGTGTTGGCCTCCAATAAAAGAGCAGCCAGGCAGGGGCCTTCGTGTCCTATATGAGAAGACAGGTAAGAACAGTAATGTGCACATGAAGATTGACATGTAGAAGAAACTCATTTTCTTGAAAAAGCCTGCTGGAGACTGAAGAGCTCCAGAAAGATGTGCAAGTTTTTGGACTTCTTCCCCTCCACAGGTGAAATAAAGGGAATGTCTGCGTAGTACCAAGCAGCTTTGTTGCAGTCATACAAGGCCATTTGTGAATGAGCTGTCTTGGAAACTAGTCTTGTTACCAGAAACAGTAGAGCATTTCTCTGTCTGCACTAGTCAGTCCAAATTAGGAGGGCTATTTGTTAATGCATTGAACTATGTACGTGTTCTTTACATGAAATACAGGCTCAGGTTTCAAAGTTCTACCTCCAAACATTTATGTGGCTCAGATAGCTAGCCATGCTGCATAAAAGACAGTAAAATATGATAGTATGATCATCTGCACTGCTTTATGCAGTCTTTATACTGCTTTATGTATGGCTTTGTACAAGCAATTTTGCAATGCTAGTTATTGTGGTAGCACTTCCAGTTTCATACCTGTTTGTATCTTCCAGTCTTATACTAAGTGGATGGTTTGAGTGTAATCCCGTTCACTTTTGTCAGCCTAGAACCTGTCTTGATAGATGTATTAAGTTCTTTAACTTCATTTTGAATGTGCAGGCTTTTATAAGAAAATAGCATATGATTTTTTTTCAGCAAGAATTTACATTATCGTTAATTTTATTTTAAAAAGCCTCATTAATGTCTTAAATATGGTTAATGAAGTACCTTCATTATGTAGGCTTACAATTTATGTTGTGGCAATAAGTTGTACTCTATGGTTATCATACTTACACTGCCCTACTCAAATAACTAATTTTCAGCAGACCCCGTTTTACCTATTCTTATATATTGATGTGTGTGTTACTGACATTAGATGTCATCTTTACCTTAGAGGAAATTTGAACTTTTGAAATGCAACAGCTCTTTCTTCTGGGCCTGAGGTATTTTTTTTTATACTTACTGTATATTTAACTCATTAAGTTGAGACTAATTATTTTCTTCTTTAAATTGGTAGTCAGGCATGGGAAACAGTAACTGTAATTTTTAAATTAAACGGCTTTATTCATGAGCACTGAGTATGGTCTTGAAAATGTTTTTTCACTCTGATAGAAGCTTGTGTTGCGTTCTGCTCTTGTAGTCATCCTGCTCATCCCAAGAGAAGCTACACCAGTTACCATACCAACCAACACCTGATGAACTACACTTCTTGTCTAAACATTTCTGTACCACTGAGAGTATTGCCAGTGATAACAGGTGTAGGACCACTGCAATGCGCCCTCGGTCACGAAGTCTCAGGTGAGTTTGTCTACCTGGAAATAGGGGTTGGATATAAATTCATGTATTCTGGAGCATCATAGTTTTATACACTGAGGGCATTCACTGTTTTTGAAATGGCTGAAGTATAACACAAGAAATATGCAACTGTGGCTGAATTACAAATAGTCCTTTTAAATTCTTGCTCGTGATTTTGATCATGGTTTACTTAAGAGGTTAACTTTTAAGCCTGGTCTTAATGAAGGCAGCTAACCTACATGAACTGTCTTGATGAGCCAGTCGTCATTGATCTGACTGGAGCACTGGTCTCTTCCAGAGATCAAAGTGTTCACAGAATACAGTCTTTATTTGCAAAACTCATTTATATCCTAGGACTATCTGGAAAGAAAAGTGATAAAGAACAAATGGGTGGGCAGCAGTGGTATGCACTTTTATTTTCTTTAACCAAGATGAACTTCACTTTCTTGTTTCCCAAAGACTAAGACTCTGCATTTCGTTTGCAGTGGCTGTTTGTGTAAGATGTGTTTTATCCAAGATCAGTTCTAAACTATCAGGATAGTTTAGGTTTGGGAAATGCAGATTAATTTTATGGGTAAGTTTTCAAGAACAGAACACTGGAACAGGCTGCCCAGAGAGGTTGTGGGGTCTCTTTCTCTGGAGCTATTCAAAACCCACCTGGACACGATCCTGTGCAACCTGGTCTAGGTGATCCTGCTCTAGCAAGGGGGGTGGACAGATGATTTCCAGATGTCCCTTCCAACCCCTGCCATTCAGTGATTCTGTGACTGGAGGAGAAAAAAAGGAAGTACTATATTTCTAATTGTATTGATCCTTTCAAAGTTTAAAAATAGTTTCAGAGGTGAATCTTCATGATTGAGTTTTTTACTGCAATATATTTTAACTCTGCTTTTTTAATATTTTATTCTAAAATCTGTGTAGACTGTTGTGACAAATGTAGTTGCTTACCTACATGAAACTGCACAATGATTACTAAGAAAAAAATCCCTTTTCTTCATTAGAAGATTACAGGTTGAAACTGTATTGTATTTATTGCCACATCTCTAATTTTTTTTCAATTTCTGTTATGCTTTAAACATTTAAAAAATTAAAATCTCCCATTTGATCTCACAGAATATGTACAAATGTTCCAAAAAACAAGAGCCAAGTATTTTCAGAAAGGGTATTATGCTGCACAAGTGTTGTGATGAAATTATGTACCTACCCTGTCCTCAGTGGATTTGCCTGTGGCTGTCTGTAACAGATTGTCCATTATCAGTTAAAGGACCAACCATTGTGATATCTTGTGACAGATTTTAGTGTTCATTTTTGCCCTTTTAGAAAGCCAAAACCCAGTTCTGCTCATGCAAGAAACCTCTATGTACATGTTATGATAAAGTCACTCCTACAGGATAGCATTCCCTTTGTGGAGGTTTTTCCTACTCCACATCTTTTAGACCAGACTGGATGGGCCAGTGTCACCAACCCAGGAAAATCAGATGAAGATTTTTCACAGGAATTTATAATGGCCAATGAGGCTTATGATGGCAAAAAGCAGTTGTGTAGCTTAGCCAAGGCCATGGGTACCTCTTATGGATTGTTCTCCTGCAAGTCACATGCTTTTGTTATGAGGCACAGTGCCTCAGCATTGATGGAACTCCTGCATATGTATGGCATTATTTGTAGGAAGTTGCTGCCTTTATTTGCTGGTCAGATTGAAAGAATTGTTTTGATTTTATTTTTTTTTAATGATCTGCTTTAAAAAAAGAAATAAAAAGACTCATTCTTCTCAACTTTTTCACTTGCAGCTAACAGTTCTTGGTCAGGTCTTGCTATTTTGATTGTATGTAACCTTCTAAGGGGCAGGTATAGCCATAATTAATAGGTAAATATATTTCTGTTGCCTTTCTGAGAAAAAGGTGATGTTCAAAGTGTTGCAAAACTGCCTGTATCCTGAAGTGTTGTTACAAACTAAGAAAATAACATAGTTAGCAATTAGATGTCAAGAATGTAAAATAATCTTCAGGGCCGGGTCAGGAATAGCAGAAAGGAACCAGGTGTACCACTGATGAGAGAATGTACCTTTCCAGTGCAGCCTATGTTGAAGCCTCTTTGTTGCAAGTAAACTGTACAAAAATATAATAACTGATTGTAGTTCATGGTGAGACAAGTTTTAAAGGGATAATTTGCTTTGCTTGCAGTCCTGGACGTTCTCCTGTCTGCTGTGACAATGAAATAATTATGATGAACCATGTCTACAAAGAAAGGTTCCCAAAGGTAATGAATTGTATTTAAGATTCTCAGTATCTAAATTGATAGGCTACATAGGTTTTAAGTAAGTGGTGTTTTTGTTACGGGAGCTAATGGTCCAACCCTGTAATGGCTTTCATAAAGCATCACGAAGCTCTTATTACAAAGATAAAATCATAATAAAGAAAATCCCTGCTGAGAACTGGACATTCATTTGGCAAAGCTGCTGAACTGGTTTTGAAATGAATCATGCTGGTAATATTAATCATGCTGATTGGAAACTGATGGTACATTCAATTTCAATAGATGGTGTGTACTTGGGGCAAATGTATACTGAATTAGTAAACCAAAAGTAGTTTCTATTGCTAAGTCTTGTGCAGCATCTGCTGATACACCTGCAAATTCCTTCCTTTTCCCAAACACTTGTTATAAATTTATTTTAATTGTGAAGATCACTACACAGTTGTGGGCGTTTGACTATGAGATACCAAATGAGGTCATGTTGCTGTTGTGTCCAGAGGTCTGAGACACAAATGAGTGCAGGTGTGTAGCTCAGAGCACTGTGCTCTCAGTTGCTCCTAGGATTTTGATGACACCTGTAAAATAAAATAAGGTAAAGCTGATAGTGTTCAAAAAAGTGCCTAAAAATAGAAATTTCTTCCTAGAAATACAGATATTTTTGTCAGGATTTGCAGAGCGATTGAGCAATCTGAAGTGTGGAACCACCCACTCATTTCAGTGTTTGAGATATGAGCTAAGGGATGTGGGATTATTTTTTAATAATAGAAATATCTTTAAGGTTTTTTTAAGCATCTGCAGTTTTCTGAGAACCAGACTGTTGGTTCCGTAAAACAGACACATCTAACAACCTGCAGACACATCTGGCAGGACCTGTGAGCCTCGTAGTGCTTTTAATCAGTTGTTGTTTGTTCGAACTCTGCCCAGTGAGATATTTTCATGGTATAGCCAGTATGAATGGAAGGAAGATACTCTGGTCTGCAGTATTTACAGGTTTAGCAGAACAAAGTAGACCCACAGGTGTTCATTCTTTTTTTTTTTTTTTTATTATTTTGACTTGGACTGTAAGTTTTAGTCATGAGTGTTCCTCTAGTCCTGTTTAGTGATCATCACAAGATTAGTGCACAGTTAATCACTAGTGGCAGGCAAAGGGGAGGATCCGTGTAGTAGAACAGCAAGGCTATTGCTTCTCTGGACTGGTAATGGGGGGAAACTGACACTTTGTCTTTCTGTGCTTGCCTTTTTGTTTCAGTCATTTCATGCGTGCCAGCTAGGTAACTTTTTAGGCAGTACAGAAATGTTGCAGAATGAGAAATAAGCTTTGAGGCTGTTCGTTTAATGTAAAGCTGATTTAATGTATTGTGTATCTATTTGTCTATAGGCCACAGCTCAGATGGAAGAGAGGCTTCGGGACATTATAACAAATCATTCTTCATATAATGTCCTTCCACTGGCAGATGGAGTGCTCAGTTTTACCCACCATCAGATCACAGAACTGGCTCGAGATTGTTTGGATAAATCCTGCCAGGGCCTCATCACATCACGATATTTCCTTGAATTACAGCAGAAATTAGACAAATTGCTACAGGAGGTATGAGCCATGGGACTACAGTTATGTTTGCTTGAAAAATTGTTTAAATCTGCTTGCCTAAGAATTGTTATCTTGAAATAATTGTGACCGTTCACTCAAATAATTGCCAAAGTGGTATTCATAGCAGTTTTAGTCTACATAATGACTCCTACAAAGACTTTAAGGCATCCTTGTGTACTAGTCTGGAATAGACGGGTTGTAAAGATTTCAGAAACAACATTTTGTCATGCAGTGCCAGTTATAAATTGCTTACGTAAGTGTGTGCATAAGCCCTAAATGAGAAGGCTTGCTATTCCATTTACTGTGGATAAATGAGGAAACATACACACTTTCCACTTTATCAACCCTACTAATGGCCTGCTGTGTTGAGAAAGCAGACAGCAGCCCTTAGCTTTCCATTAGCTAGAGGTTAGTTAATTATTTAAATATTTATAATATTCCTTTCATAATTAAACTGTTTATTAACAGAAATAATGTCATTTCTAAAAGTGTTGAAACTTCCATAGAATAATCGGCTAAATGAATTAAGAAGAACTCAGAACTTGACCGAAAAAATGTGCTATGACAAGTCACTGCAGCTTATGAATGTATCATTTTTAAAACAATAATTATAGCATGTAATATACTTATTTGTTTGTGTGGGATTTGATAGCATATTATGAACCAAAGTTAATGTGATAGACTAGCAGATTTGATATTGACTTGAAATTTTCCAACTGAGATGTTAAGATACTATGCCCATCTTAATTTATGTCGTCTTCTGGTTTCTTTTGAATCCAGAAGCAGTTGCTAAAGGTTTTAGTTGATTATTTTTTTTCCTATGCTGCTCTTTTGTTAATTTCTATTCAGTAAATAGGTTTTCTGCAACTACTATATTTTGAACTTTTCTTTTCATAAAGCAATGCAAAATTTAAGGTACCGGTGATTATTATTTCTGGATTATTGAAATCCTATTTGTTATACAGAGAAAATGCATAGAGCTTGCTTACTAGTCAAAAAGCAGTTTGAACTAGTGACCTTCTTGTGAAATACTCACATTTTTATGATGCCAAAGTGCAGGCAGAGTTGGCCAGTTCACTGGAGATATCTGACTGTGAATTATGTTATGCTACTGATAATGTCAAAATACAAGGAAACATGTCTAAGCTAAGATGCACTGAACCGTTACCACTGTTAATCACTGTTAAGAATGTATCCCTTAAAATGGCTGCACAGAATTTAGAGTACGTGTTCAGTCATTCACTTAACCCCCCAAAACCTGCTAAAAAAACCCACTCTACCAAGTTATTCTCCAATCTGCATATAAACAGTGCAGTATTAAAAAAAACACCAAAACACGCATTTTGTCATGTTCTATGATGCTCTTCCTTTATTATGTAAAAATTTCCTGTTCTGTAAAAACATAATACCTTAAAATAGTCAGACTTAACTTTTGAGTCAACTGCATAATACCTGTTAGTAGCATATTATGACAGTAAGAAAACTTTCTCTTTGCACGTCTCGGTTATGGGCACTCAGTTGTGCTTTGGGTTCATGCGATTCATTTGTTGTCAATTCCCAGCTGTGATGTTCAGTGGAAAGCTGCATCTCCTGCTGCTGCTTGGCATGTTGTGATTACTTTGCATAACGAGGGGAAGACTCCTTGAGGTTTGAGCAGCTTTGTTCAGCCAACATTTTTGTAATTCTAAGGTCAAGGTCAAGTGGTCCTGAATGCTTTCCTGCTTCATCCCTTTTGACTGTAACATATATAGAGTCTTGTTCACATATGCACCTGAGTGTTCACAAAACTGTACAAAGGTGCTTTAAATTTTGCTGGTGATTAAAGTAGGCAGGTGTTTTGTTTACAAAAGTGCGGGGTTTTTGGACTTGGTTGATAGTGTGCAGAACACAAATGCTTGTGTCCAGTTAAGGTTCTTCTGAAACCTATTGCAGAGTGCAAGATGGTATTTGTACCTTTTTCTTTTTACCTTCTTTAAACTTCACAGATTAATTCTTCTCAGCTGTTTGTTGTTTTTTAAAATTGTAGTGCTTGTATTAAGAATGATACATAGCTTCCTATTTTCAGTCTTTTTTAACTTAATACAGTTGAGAAGTACTTATTTGTCCATATTAGTCACTTTTTAAATGTTAGTTTCTTAATTTTCTTTGTGGTTTTGAATAAGCAAGAGATGATGAAAAACTTAAATCTACTGTTTCTACTACTCAGAACAAAAAAATACTTTGATATTTGAGTCAAAGGCTTTTCGTATATTTTAATCAGAGGGAGAAAGATACAATTTCTTTGCATTCATTAGCATCCCTAAATTATATAATTTGTTCTTAGAGGGGAGCATTTGAAAGAAATTTGAAATGCGGATCAGACTGTTGTGCAAATGTTATGAAATGTTCTACAAGTATTTTTTCTGTATGTTTTCTTTTATAGTATTCCCCCCTTTGTTGTAATCTTTGCAGAACTCAACTTTTCATTGTCTTCCTTTTTACGTGTACCTTTATATGGACCTTCTCTGCAAGTGTAGTTTTATTTATTTATTCTATTTTATATATATATGTATGTATGTTATTGTCATTTTAGTATGACATGCGACCATAGGAAATCAGTATCAATTTGGCATGGATGTTGCTTATGCTTAATATTACTTAGGTCAATTTTCAATTCATCCTAAAATTATTAACAAATTGAGACACAGCTGTACATGTAGAGATGTATGTTGTATTGAAATGTAGTTCCTTTTGGAAAACTGATGATAATAATACTGTGTAAGTTTAAAAAAAGAAAAAAAAAAGGTATTATGTCCATTGTAGGCACTTCTATTTTGTGGTTGCAGTATTAGAATTGTACAAATGGAATTCAATTTGAGGTTACAGCATTGCTCAAATCCTTGTTCTTTCTGCTGGCATCTTGAAATTGACTGCTGTTTGTCTCAAGTACATGTTTCAAACCCTCAAAGGTATCTCAAATACCATATATACTTTCCTGAGTAGTGCGTCGAATGCCATTTGGTTTATTATCATGTTATTTTTATCTTTTAGGCTCAGGAGCGATCAGAGAGCAGAGAAATGGCATTTATTAAGCAACTTGTCCGAAAAATCCTGATAGTTATTGCTCGTCCTGCTCGCTTACTGGAATGCCTGGTAAGGTTGTGCTTCCTGTAGGATTTTCACTTGTTAGCGTGGGAAGGTTTCTGGCTTAGTATTCAAGGCCCTTTACAATCATTTTATGATACATGTCGAACAATGGAGTAGGGCTTCATTCTTGGTGGGATCCTTTCTGCTTTTATTTCAGGAACATGGGACTGGCAGGGACCTCCTGCAGTTGTTTTTGGTTCCCTGCTATTGCAAATACTATGTTATAGAATCTCTCTCATCAATTGAGAAAGCACCAGTTAGAAACCATTTGGGGTTTTCTGTTGTTTTGTTAGACTTTGCTATTCCTTGGAAAGACTGTTCCAGAATCATAATTGCTTGGTGGTTTTCCTGTTCTTCTTAAAAGTTTCATAATTTTGTTTCACTCAACAGCTGCCAGAGCTATAAGCAGCTGGCAGGCAGCTCTGCAGTACCTGATCTGGGGGTAACAGCAGCAGAGCGATTAGGGTATCTGGATATACAGTCAGAGTTATACTGGGGACCAGAAGGAGCAGAACAGTTAATTTATTTACGCATGAGCATAGCACTGATGTTGCCAGACTGGGCTAGCTTGCGCAAGGCCATGTGGGTGTGTTTCTGCTTTGCCTGCCCATGCTGTGGGAGGTGGGATGGCTCAGGTGCGGGAAGTTGCTCCTACACACAGAGCCAGTGTGCTTCAGTTGTTCAGTGGAACTAATAAACGCTTACAGAACACAGTGTACTCAGGAGGATGGTGTAGACACCCAAATACCATGCAAGAGCCAGTCTGAGTCCAACAGGCCTGGCAGGCAGCCTGAGCTGACTTTGTTGAGCCACTCTGCTTGCCAATACCAGGATCAGTGTTGATGCTGCATACAGCTATTTGAGGCTGGCAAGGCTTATGTGGGAGCCACTAACCTGCTGCTAGACTCAAGTCATGCCTGAAAGTGTCATAACTGCATTTGCATGGCACTGAATCTGAGCTAGTAAGTCTTTCCAATCTGATTTTGGCTCTGTGCTGTGTCTCTTCATCTGTGGCACAGTTAATCCACAACCTGGCTCGTTCAGCCACGGGCATTTTGAGAGCTGCCTCTGTTTTGTTTTGGAAACACCATATCTCAGTGTTCCCAGTTGCAGTTTGTTCATGATTTGCAATTCAGAAGGAATCTAAAATAAAGCATGTGCTCTGAATCAGTGTCAAAGAGATGTTTAGAAAAAAAAGGCAGGCTTTAGAGGAGAGGATGCCTTACCACGTCCTGACTCTGCTATTGAATCCAAGCTTGTGCTAACCCTGAACACTGAAATGCTTATTCCATATCTAGTGTGATCTTCCCTGCTTCATACCCAGGGTTCACGTAATCTTTCTCCACCTCTTCACCCAGTTTCTCATACGATGTCTTGTTTTCCATGTGGTCTACATCCTTCTCTCTCATCACACATCCAAAAATTTCATTAAATACATTCTGCAGGCTGATGGACCGAGGCTTCTTTATGATGCTTTGTCCTGCCTTTCCATGTTTGCTGGCTCTTTCCCACCTACCCTTTCCCCAGCTTCATCCTTGTCTTTTAGTTTTTTTAATTCAGGTTCTCTCCCGGTGACCTTTTTGCCCATTAGTTCATTTTCCCTAAATGCTATGTTTTACAGCTTACCTATTCCAAATCTCCATTCACTTAGTTCCCAATTTCTGCCCCTGGGATTTTATCCTAGGCTACTTGCTCTGCCTTATCACACTTCAAGTACAGCTGTAGTGCATCCTGTATCCCTGCGTTTGCTGGGCCTCCTGATGTGAGTGGAAGGGCTAGTGTTGAGGCCAGGAGATGACTGTGTCTCTTAGTTGAGAGTTTCAGAGCAGCAATTGCAGAAAAAGACAGCACAGCTTCCTTAAAGCATTCTTAGTTCACATGGGATCTTTAGGAGATTTAAGCTGGAATCTTAACAGTTCTGCACAGCAGATTTCTACAGAGGCAGGTAGCTTGGACAAATTTACGCATACTGTCACAAAACAATACATTTATCATTCAAGAAGGTGTTATGCCTACTCCATAAATGCCACTGGAATCATATAATGCAGAAACAATATCGTTTTTCCATAGTGTCCCTCTGGAAGCTTTTGAACAATAATGGCTGATATTTTAGAATGTCTGAAATAGAAACTATGTATGGAAAACTTCAGCCTCTATAAGAAAGTTCATAGCATTGTAGAAGATAAATCCAGCACTTGTCATGAGAAGTTTCAGATACCATGCAATAATGCTGCCAGCTTTCTGATGATGATCTTGGCTCAGGTGTTCATGATATGAGAGTTCCTATTTTTATTCACTTGATAATCATACGAATAAAGCTTCTGCAGTTTCATCTGTGCCAGGAGCTACTGACAAATACTGAAAGATTTTTCTCCGTTTGTACATGGAAAGTGAAACACAGAGTTGGAAGTAAAGATCAGAAAATCATTGTGTTTCTAATTTTTCACACGTTTGTATGTATATTTATCCAAATATACACACACACACGTATATACATACACACATATTCATATGATTAAAAGTATCTGTCTTGAAATTACCTTGATGTACTAGCAAGTGGAGGAGAAGCTGTATATCTGCCCCTGCAGCAGGTAAGGAGATGATGATGATATCATGATGAAGGTAAATAGGAAGTCTTGACAAACGTCATCATGTTGTGCTATTCTTCAGTGCCAAGGAGTAACATATAAGAGAAACAGCTGGGGACAGCATCTCAGATGAGGACAGTAAGGCTTAAAACAGCATGTAATGCTTAGTTACTCTGTTCAGAGTTTTAGTCAGTTTAGCAGCATCCTGAGTCTTTTGAGCTAAATAAAAGAGTTTGGGCAGTTCATGGGTTAGTGTAAATCCTTTGGAGTAGGCTGGAGGTGATGAAAATTGTTTCATGACAAAGTAAGAACCAAGACTGTTTCCACGAAACTGAAAATTCCAAAGACATTTCATTTCAGACGCACTGCAACTCCTCCTGGTAGCTGCAGCAGTTTGGAGGCTTCCAAAATGAAACATGATACCTAATTTCTCAAGCTATCTTCCAGGTTGAGACGCAGAGTTCCCAAGTCCTGGGTAGCCTGAGGAGCTAGTACATGAGCCTTGTGACCCAGCACGCAGGCTAAAGCCCCATGGAGTTATGTCAGGCCGTGAAATGAGCGGCAGGGAAGCTAACTAGCTTAGCAGTCTGCCTGGCTTCTGCACATTTTCTTGACAGAATTGTCTTACTCCAGCAGAAAGTCTGTTTTGTTAGTGTTTCGTGATTCGGGCTCTCACTCTATTAAGCATTGCACCTGTTGTGATACATGGTTGGCATGAACATCTTGAAGAATGCAATGGCTACATGAGAGATGTTTTGTTATGAATTCATACTGGTAGATAAAGTCTATTTTAAAAAAACCAAACCTTTTCATAAACTTCCTTGTTCCTTTCAATGCTTACCTATTTTTATCATCTGTGAAGGTAGTAAAATAAACATATTTCCAAGGGACTTGGGGGATAGGCAGGGTTTTGAGTTTCTATTTTTTTGTTCTTCTTTGAGGCTTGTCTTTTAAGCATGGTGTAAATGATAGTTGTAATATAGGTGGCTCCCAAAGCAGGATGTTTCATTTCTAGATTTGGGACAATTGGATCAATGAAATTCAAATGTTGTTTTCAACAATGTACTATTTTGGCTTTGTTCTGTAGTTATTTATTTCACTGTATTTTCCATAAAACATTGTGCATATAGATTTAAAAGACTTCAAAATTTCATTCAGAAGTAAAAGTGGAGAACAATATATTTTATTTCAGTAGTGGATTTTTATATGCGAGTAGCTGCAGAGAGAGTCTTCCGTTTGTGAAATTTTACCGCTGCTGGTTATAGGTCATTTCACTCTGAATATTATGAAAAGTTTTGAGGGCAAAGAACTTAGTATTCTTATAAAGTAGTGCTCTGAAACAATGGTATGAAATTTCATTGCTTACATCATGTTACACTGTGTAATAGAGTAACAGGCTACTAGTAATAGAATAAAGAAGTATTGTTTTTAATAAGGGACGTGTCAAATATCTGCAATAGAAGCAGCAAAGGAAGTTTTTGTTAGGCTTTAAAACTTCAGTTTCTACAGAGAGAATGATGGTAATTATTTTTTTTCTAGGAATTTGATCCTGAAGAGTTTTACTATCTTTTGGAAGCAGCTGAAGGCCATGCTAAAGAGGGGCAAGGCATTAAAACAGACATCCCTCGATACATAATTAGCCAGCTGGGCTTAAATAAAGATCCTCTGGAAGGTAAGTGCATGTCCTGGTCCAGCTATAGGCTCCTAGATGTTAAAGGAGTAGCTGCTGCCTGAGCATTCACACACCCTTCATGGTGTCGCACACACACACTGATTCTTGGGCACACTTCCTCCTTCTTCAGGCTTGAACCTAAGTTTCTCACAGCAAAGTCTCAGGCATCGGATTTTATAAAAGAATTAATTTAATTGAAAGGTGCAGCAGCAGGATCAGCCTGGGCTGGGTGCTTCCAAAGAGAGGGGCCCAGAACAAAGAAATCCTGGGGCAATTACACCCTTGGGTCCCACACGCCCGCCCCTCACGCACCCCTCACATGCTGTCCACATGTCTTTTAGTCCAAGAGTGATTTTTGGTCTGAGGTCTTCTAACATCTAATTGGATTCTTCTTCTGTGTCCAGGCAGGCAGGGTCTGATCTCCTTGACTTGCAGTTTCTGCTGTTTTCCCCAAAGGTTGGAGCCTCCTTATCGTCTGGTTTAGACTCATTGTACACCTGGCCTTGTGGGTGGAACATGGAGAACTGAAGAGTCCCAGACATGGAAAAACATTACCGCAGTATTAGTGTGATATGAAAATACATTCGCATACTACAAGACTAGACACAGCACTGTACTAGCTGTTAGGGAAGCTACTAGGAAAATTACGGAGAAAAATCCCTCTATCACAGCCTGAAGTCTTCAGCAAATCTAGCTAGTCATGCTAAGTAAAGCTAAGCAGACACCACAAATCATACTCTATTATATTCCTAAGTAATTTATTCTAATTAAAACCTACTTATTTATATTAACTAATATCCCTCAACACTAGATTCTGCCTTCTCAATGTGTTTAATCATTCTGATAACCTGTGTGTACCTGAAAAGAGTCAAAGTAAAGATGGTAGCAGAATAAGCATTTGCTAACCCTCACAGTTCTCGCACAAGCTCAATGGCATTAAAAAGGCCATCTGAGATTTTTCGGTTGTGAATATCATTCACAAATACGCTATGTCAATGATACTTATCATCATCTTCTAGCCTGGCAGTGCAACTTTCTTATTTCAGCTCTAGCTGAAATTTACTGGTATAATTTGACAGCGACTGTTATCTACCCATAGGTGTAAATGAAACTGGGCTGAGCTGTGATTTGCCCTTCTGTGCCCCCAGACTCCCACATCTTGGAGTCTCTGAGAAGAATATCTCCCATTCCTATTAAAACTGAAAAGATTTATTTTTCTGGGCGATTTATGTGTTCATGTTGAGAACTTTTGTAGAGAGCGCTCTGGTTCCAAAGGAGGTATTAACATTGCAGATTTTTCATTTGCCTGATTCTTCTTTTAAGGACAGTGTTGAGAAAACTAAAACTACTTCCGTCTCCTAACCAGACCATCTTTTCGTCCATCCTGACAAAGGATTCTATCACTGGTGGGAAATGGAAATTGGTTCATTGTGTTCAGTGCTAGTCCTGAAATTTGGAAGAAATTGGCAGAAATGCCATCATGGAAAATGAGTCTAGCTAGTGCCATTTAGCTTGTCTTCTGTGTTATGGTCCAGGACAGGTGTATCTCATGGAGAGGACCTGATAACACAAAATAATAGCAAAAAGCTGCGATAAACCTTTTTTTTTTAACCAGTTCTCATGATGGAAGATCACATCTCCTTAAATTAAAGGAGTGGCTTGTTAAAAGAAAACTCTCGTTTGTTAACTTCAGCACCTTGTCAAGTTTAGCACTGACAGATGTTTTTAGGAATCTGGTTAGATCTAATTCAATTAGATTGGATGTTATTATAGATGATAGTCATGTTATGTTAACAGATTTAATGAAAGTCAAGCCTAGTCTGCTTCCTATTTTCACAGAACTCTGTCATCCAAATTTAGTATTATTTTTGTCTGAGACATAGATTAAAGCAGCTTTGACACTTTTTGCTTGGATTCAGAGTTCAGCAAGGACACTAGACAAATTGGGAAAATACACATAAATATTGTTTTCCATGTAGGAAAGATCAAGAAGTAGCTTAATTCTCTGCAAAATAAAGAGGTGTCTGCTGGATTTGGACAGCTGTTAGTCTGGCCTAGACTGGTAATTCATAAATTCTTCACTCTTCAAGTATGCAAGGTTTAATTTGGAGTGTGGGTTGAGAGTTTAGTATTGTAGAACCAGGGTCAATTACTTGAACTTTATCTTACTGATTGACTCTTTCTGACCGCTTGGGTAAAAGTGTTTCTCAGCATGAGTCAAGAATATGACACTACCTAAGTTTAATAATATCTTTGAATTTTTTTTAAACAGTTTATTGTGAGAGAAGTCCAGAGACAAATGCTATATACAAATAAGGGACAATTATTTCTCAGACTAAATATTTGTTTTATGTGAGTGTACTTCATCTAGGACACATCTTATAATTACATTTCATAAGTTGAATTTTAATGAATATAACATAAATGTTGAAGCATTCCAGGATAATTGAAATGTGGGTTTTTTCCCGAGCAGGGAAAAAAATGGTCTGTGTGGTTTGTCAGTAACTACTGAGGGGTGTATGATGTATGGATTACTGATCTTTGGTTCAGTTGGAGATTTGGGCAATTTTATGTATCATTTTAAAGGTTAATGTGTCTGTAGATTTGTGATCAGATAATTCAGGCCATCTGATTTGTATTAATGCTTTCTTGCCTCCCTACAAAAGTGATATTTTTAAGCAATATAAATCACTGTGCAATGACTTTTTAAATGATCTGGGTTTGGGTTAAATTGGTATCTCTATATACAAGAACATTTCCTAAGGAAAAATAAAAGAATGACACTATGGGTTAATGCCCTGGAATTAATCTTTTACAAAGAGAATTATTTGGAAACACTATTTTCATTGCTATAAAAAATATTACCTGAAGATCATCCTCATGAGAGTTTTAAATTCCTTGTATGCAAAAATGAAAAATATTTTTAAAATATTTAATAGGAGAAGAACTAAATCTTTAAAAACCAACAAAACGAATCTCAGTAACACCACATATCCTGAAACACAGAATTGTATTTTCACCTAAGCTGTTGAATTAAGTGTACAATGATCATAAATGTTCATGCGAAGGATTTTACTTCCTCTGCAGAGAAAAGCAACCTACTTCTTTAGGCCTTTTTCTGCTTATCTCCTTTGTTTGCTGCCATAGCTGTAGTGTCTTTTCTTTGAGTGAAATGATGCATGCATTACTTGGAGATAATGCTAGATAAATTTATACTATACTGAAAGCAATACCACAACAGATTCATCACTTAGCAGAGACTGGTGGCTGCATTTCTGAAGAGTTCCCCAGGGAGAAATTTTTCCCTGTGGTTTTTAAATTACCATCTTTACCTTTTTGAATCATGAGTCTTCAGAAATGGTTTAAATCAATGAAAGAAGAAGGGCAGATGTTTAATGGTATTTAGATGAGTTTTAAAAATCTCTTCAGGCATTACAAAATGGTTCCATAGCTCCCTGTTTGGAAAGCTGACTCTTGGTTCCATTCCATTACTACCTGCTGCTTGCAAATAGTATATATTTCTCAGATAATGGTTATGTTGCAAAAGTTCTATTTAAAAATGGCTCATTTTAATTTGTTGTTTATGAAAATAATTTCAGTTGAGAAGGCTGTCAAAGTATATTATTCTAGCTTGTTTGGTTCTCACCCATACAATAAAGGTGCCATCAAGACCTCTATTATAAAAACCCCATGTTCACAAAACTGACTTTTACCAGGGAAATCCACTCCAGTTTTTAGTTCGGCCTATATAATTTTAGCTTAGGCTCTCTTTATATTTTAAGATTTGTTTGTTCTCAGCGGAGATATTTTTCACTGTTTATTGACTCCAAAAATTCTAAATACGAAATGTTTTTAGCTTCTCTAACACTTTAAAAATCTGTTTGTTTGTTGTAGTGACACTTCCATTGCTTCTGATTCTGACATTTTACAAATGTTTTGTTTTGGATAGTGATTACAAATGAGAGTTAATCCTTAAAGCTTTAGCTCTTCCAACAGAAAATTATCTGTGTGGTTAATTTGCTCTTAATGATTACAGTAAGTGTTGTGCAGAATTTCACTTGTAGTAGTCACTTATTATATAGAAAAATCTAGTTTAGATCTTCTGTGTGAATATTCAATTATTGTTTGTATTCATAAATTCAGTTAACCATCCTGAGATAAAAATTCACACCTCAAATTTCAGGTGGTCTTATCTCTGATCCCCCAGCACTTAATTATGATAAGATGTGCATCTTTGGCTATGTTGAGTATATAATTAACTATGTATGTGATTAAAGTAATACTAAGCTTCCCAGGGTCTTTTAGCTATCAGCTGTCCTGTTTGGCTTTTATTACCCAGATGAATTCTTAGTTACTGGGCCCCTGAAGAACAGGCTTAGAAGCTCTGTAGCATAGACTGACCCTGGCAGGGACAACCAGGTCAAGTTGTAGACTCCCAAAATCTTAGTTTCACAGAGAAGTCGTCTGTATTAGTGACTCCATAAATGATAAGCTACTTAGAAAATGGCTTTTAGCTTATTCTGTTAGGCATATCGGCATTTCTGTGTAGAAGGTGCAAACCATTTGGAGTCTCTCTCTGCCTAAACTAGAAGCTTTTTGCTCTAACTGTGAAGAAGCCCAACAAGGGTGGGGCCTACTATTAATCCTTCAGGGGCCGAGATCCTCAGGAGTTCTAGCAGATCTGCACTGTCTTTCCTTTAATGCTCAGGTCACACACCGATCTCAGAATTCCCACGTCTCAGCAGTGATAACAGTATTGCTAGCCATTGCTTCGTGGCTGTTTGAGTTCTTCAGTGGAAGATTATATAGGCATTGAATAGCGGGTCTTCATTTTCCATGTGGGATTTTTTTATATATGCTTGGAGGTGCCCTAAAAGTTACTTGGCAAGTACTACAAATAGGACAGCATCTTTATGAAGAATTCCAGAAAAGTGTCACTTCTCAGGTTTTCTGTGCTTCATTTGGTTTTATGTTTGCTATAGTTTAAAATGAAGCTTCTAATCTTTGTTTGCAGAAATAGCTCAGCTAGCTAGCTGTGACAGTGGGACAGCAGAAACTCTCGAAGTGGATGAATCAGTAAATGTAAGTTTTCCTGTTATGTTGCTGCTTTTGCTGAATCTGAGCAACAAAAAATAAGTGTATTATGTTTCCCCCATTTTCTCCTGGTATGTGTAAACAAATTGAATCTAACAGTGGTTAATCCTCAAGACTAACACGGTGCTGCTCAGCAGGCAGAAAGCTCACAAAAAATACTGGAACAAAACTTTCCACCTATTTTCCTAGATGTTGCAGTATCTTTAGCTTTCACAAAGTTAGTATTCACCATGTGGCAATTGTTTTACCACAAAATCTACCACTGCTTCCTTTTTTTTCTGTTTAATTAATGTATTTATTTTTCTTTTAGAAGGTCTTTTAAACCAGGAAGAAATGAGCAAGTTAGCAAATAGCCTGAATTCAGGAAGTTAGTTTGCAATCTGGAAGATTGTCCATTGTTCTTCTGAATCCATGTCTGAAAAATACTTGTCTACAATAATAGGTGTCTTATAGTAATATTTTCAGATGGTTGTTCAGGTTGGCCAAAGAAAAACGAGTTGGAGGAGTTGGTTGAGCTGAAAATTGTGGGCTTAAACGCTTTCAATTTAAATTCTTATTTTTTAAAGTTGGTTCTTATACCTTGAATTTCAGTCAACAGAGTAGATTGAGTTCTAATAGTTTAGTGTTGATTTTCAGTGCAAGTGGATAGAAAAAACAAGTGCAATTTTGGGGGACGTATAGGTAATTCAGTGGTACTTTACAGGTATTTACAAATTTAGTAGAGTTTAAAATACAGGCACGAGGTATCTGTTAAACTAGTTCTGATATGCTACAAAAAGACATCATCCTTTGATACATGTCATATTATCTTGAGATGATTTCTGGCTTTCTGGCAAAATGTGACCTATAAAGGCTTCTAGAGTTGTGACATGAAGGATGTTTCTTATGCTGCTGCTTTCACTCATCTGCATGTAAAATACTGTATTAGACCTAAGCGGTATTTAGTGGAAGGATACTGACTAATTGTAGAAAAGACATAAAGAATAATTAGAAGACTTAAAGGAATTACTGAAGTGCATGGGAGAATCTAAGGTGCAAACCGGCTTAGCAAAGGCTAAGAAATGGAGTTGTAAAGTTATTTGTGTTGTACAATGTTGAAGAAATACAGAAAGGATAATGCAGTGTAATAAAGGAATGTAAGCAGAGGAGGTGATGAAGTGAAATCAGTAAAGAAAAATACAGGGCAAATATTTGGAAGCATTTTCTCAAAGTGTAGCTGTGGAATAAACACACGTGGGAAGTGACAGGAAGTATAACTTTAAAGTACAGAACCATTCAAAGTAATCATAAATATGCAATTAGGAAGAATCCTGTACTGGCAGGCAAGTAAGCTAAACAGTTTAATAAATCGTCTCTCTCTGTTCCTGTGTAGTCATTATATTAACGTATTCATTAGTCTTGCACTGAATTTTCTTCAGCAAGCATTTAATTTAAAATGTTCCAACCAGGTCTACTTTCAACCATAACTATTATCAGACTGCCTGGATAGGGATCGTAGAACTTGGAGATGTGGAAAACATCTTGAAAAGGATCTTGTAGGTTTGGAATACTGAATTTGGAGTCTTGCACCATCATCATCCCCCCCTTGCTGCACCCTATTCTAATTCACATTTACATCTTCAAGATTAATTTTTAATTAAAGCTAGGAAAAAGATTGTGCGGTATTCGGGACAACTCCATTTTGAAAATGTTCTGGCATACAAGTGGGTGAAAGTGACCTCTGTAATGGTAGAATTACTGCATTTTTATGTTCCATGTTTTTCTCTTTCATTTTGTGTCTCTTTCCACAGTCTATTCTAAGTTAGATCACAGTCTCTCCTAATATTAGTTCGAAATGTGCAAAAGTTAATTTGAATAAAAGAGAGCTTATCTACATTTTGTTACTACCGGAGTCAGACTTACTGAAAAGGGAAGGCAGTGGCCAACGAGTGCCTGGTGGGATTCACAGAAATCCGTAATTCCGGATAGGAATTGCCTGTAACTCCTTTACGAGAAGCCTTCATGCCTGTCTGCTTTAACCTGTGCGTGTAGATAAACAGACAGATTGCTGCAGTGTAACAGATACCTTTTTGATGAAAAAGCAGCTTTGCTTCAGGAGTCCCTTTGGTCCCTCTCTGTGCTAGCTGTGTGGCTACCTGGCCAGAGCTTTTGGCTGGTTCATCAAGGGGTGACAGCATGGTGATAGTTGGTTTTGGTTTTTGGTTGGTTGTTGGTTTTTTTCATTTTTCCCTGATTTTGAAAAAAGTACTGTATTAACTTTGTTCTTTCTCCTCTTTTACTTTGAAGAGCTCTAATACCTCACTGAAGCTGCAGAGGAAGCCTCGGGAAAGTGATTTTGAAACAATTAAACTGATTAGTAATGGAGCTTATGGGTGAGTAATCCATGAGTGCAACAGCTCTTTTGCAAATTTTTTTTTTTTGTGCCTAACTTCCCATTATTTCGTTTCGCAAGCATGTTTATCTGAGGGAGTTTGTTTGCACTGCTGCCCTTTTCATTCTGCTTTCCTGTTTTGTTGCTAATGCTTGAAGTTCACAAGAAGAACTTTTTGGAAAGCCTGCTAGGCAATAATGAATTACTGTGTGCTGCAGTAAATTAAAATACTGAATATTACATCACAATGATTGTTCAGAAGTACGTATCATGTAATGCCAAAGATGAAATATGAATAAATCAAAAGGCAGGTTCAAAGCCACCTTTGTAATACTGGAAACAGCCTGTGTTTATGCAAATGTGAAACAAAATAAAACTGCATCTGTAGGGAGACAGATTGTTAAAAATGAGTGTTTGCTTGACCTAAAAATATTGGTGAAGTAGAAAGAAATTTCCTTAAGTAGGGCAGCACTGTTTTATTGCTTTTCCATGGACACTCTTCTATTCTCAAATTTTAACCAGTTAACTTTTAAGGAATTGCTGTTACTTGGTTAGTTTCTGGGTACTTGCAAAGTGCACAGCTTACTGCTCAGTGGTATGTGAGTCATCTGGAGACATCCTAGAAGACCAAGAGAAGACTATGTTAGTCTAGGCTTTAAATGAACATGAAATATTTTCTGAACGTACTGTGTAGGGATTGTGTCTATCAGCAGGCAGAAGTCTGTCTTCAGTCACCTTTTCTGATCAGATACCATCTATTAGACCCTTGATCGGCTCCTCCTCTGAAATGTATATACTGAAATGTATCAAGACAGGAACTCTTGGTCTATGTAACCTGCAGGACCAGGAGGGATCTATTGGCTCAAAACAGAGGGGTTTCAGTCTTGAGGTGAGGAGCCCACTGCCAAATGAGACCATGCCACAGCCTGGCGGTGGAGAGGGCTGTGCCTGCTCTCCAGCACAGACCCCACTGCACTGGCTCTACTCTGCGCTACATCTGCTTGAGGCAGGAAGCAGCAGTGACCTGACAGGACTGAACACTCTCCGAAGAGACCTTGGACATAGAAGAAAGACCATCTGCAATCTGGAGTTTTGCATGCAGTTTCAATGGCCTGAGGCTGATGGGCACAGCAATAGTTTCTGATCATATTTAGTTAAAGGTAACTCTGAGCTCTGGGACAGGAGGCATTTAGTACTGCATAGTACTGTTGGTCATGATAGCTTGTGTGGATGCTATTACTTGAGTCCAGACTTGCTTACGTAGCTCAGCCAAAAGCCTGAAGGAAATAGTGTAATTTGCATTAAAGTTATGTAAATATCCAAATACAACTTCTCACTAGCCAATCTCTGCACAATTCATTTTCTCAGAATTTCTCCCTAGGCAAACTCATTACTTACTGTATGCCGGTTTCTCGCAATTACCCCAAGACTTCAAAAGCCTTGCTTCCAGCAGTTAGCAGTAGCTGCTGCTCCCCTCCCTGGCTGCATCCTTTTCTCCTTCCCTTGGCACATGCTTAGTCCCCTCCATTCTTCCTTTCATCTCCTACTCAATTTCCTCTTTGTCTTACTGGAGGAGGATAAGAACAACCATGTGGGGTGAGTCCCTGTCAGAGAAAAGGATGTCTGAGTCACTAGACCTGCCCAGCTTCCCAGCAGTTTTAGGATGCTGAGGGATGAGGAGAGGAGGGAGCAGCTGCAGGAGAGCGTGCTGTAACCAGCAGCATGAGGCTGGCTGCCTAAAGTCAGAGGTTTGGTAGACCTGTGGCTCTTGCTCCATAGGTGTTAAAATCAGAAAGAGCCTTGATGAGCCATTAAGAAATACAGACTAGAGACATCTGTCCTTTTGAAACTGGAGACAAGTAAGGATCTGAAAAGCTGGAAAGAAAGCATGAAATGCTATGGCTTTCTATGGCACGTATGATGTAGACATGTAGGATTTTTTTTTCCTCATGTTTGTGGCAGGGAAAATCAATACTTAGGAAACACCTTTTTAATGCCAGTAATATGTGAAATTGGCAATATAAAGGTCATAAAAATTGGATGAGACCCTGATAAATTTGTGAGGAAAAAGCTGATAGAGGATGAACACCTTGGAGATTCTGCATGGATCATTGTCTTTAGCAAATGTTAAAACGGGGTAGGCTGGCAGGTTATACTGTGGTAGTATTAGAAGTGGAAATTGAAAAATCTCATAAGTTTAGTACAATGCTATTGCTTTCATCCTTAAGCAAACAATAACAAAGTAGATTTTATTGGTTTGGATGTTTTAAATGGTTACTACTTAGAAGGAAAAATTGAGAAGAAGAAAGAAAACAAAGGTACAGCGCTGCCCCATACTAATTAATGTAGAAGGAAAGGAGGACACTCGGTGAACTGTGAGACAATAAATTTTTAAATTCATTTACTCTTTTAAAAGTGATTTTAGCACCTAGTCACTTCCCCCCAACTACTGTAAGTTGAGGCGGCTTGTGCTAATTCTCTAGGATATCACTTTTTCCAAACTATCTGTGTACTTGAAGATCTCCACTGTGGTATGTCAGTGTCCTGCTTTCAGCTGCGACAGAGTTAATTTTCTTCCTGGTAGTGGGTACAGTGCTGTGTTTTGGATGTAGGATAAGAATAATATTGATAACACACTGATCTTTTGGTTGTTGCTAGGCACTGTTTACACTAAGTCAGGGACTTTTCAGTTTCTCACACTCCCCTGCCAGTGAGCCGGCTGGGAGTGCACAAGAAGTGTGGAGGGTACACAGTGAGGACAGCTGACTGAAACTGGCCAATGGGATATTCCACGCCATATGATGTCATGCTCAGTCTACATATATACATATATATATAAAAAACTCGGGGGAAGCTGGCCGGGGAGTTTAGACTGTGGGTCGGGAATTACCTAGGCATTGGTGGTCTGCAGGTGGTGAGCAGTTGTGCTGTGCATCACTTGTTTTGTATGTTCAGTTGCTGCTGTTATTATCTTCCTTTTCTGTCATATCAAACTGTCTTTATCTCAACCCATGAGTTTTACCTTCCCCTCCCCGCCCTGATTCTTTCCTCCATTCCACCATGGGGGCAAGTGAGTGAACGGCTGTGTGGTGGTTTTAGCTGCTGCTGGGTTAAACCAAAGCAGTCAGATAAAGTGGGGCTGTAATATAGGCAGACCAATTCTTTTTCTTTATTATGTGGGGTTTTTTTTGTTGGCACCAATACGTTTTTGGTTAATTTACTCAAAAGTTATGGTCAAGTGTAAAGGGGAACACATCACTATAACCTAAATCCTCTTTAGCCCACCTACAAAATGGAGTGTAATAAAGCAATAATACCTGTTCCATCTGTGAATACAAAGCAATAAACTGCCCCATAGGCATTTATTGCAGTTTATTTACCACTATAAGCAGCTGAAACAAGTTATTGTTACCCTACAAGGATTATTTTTTTTCCCTTCCATGTTTTTCCAGGCCATTAATTTTTTTAAATAACGTAACTATGTGTGAATTCTGCCTGTGCTTCATTGATTTATTCTCAAAAATATGTCAGTGGGTATATTTTGTGCTCTGCCTTTAATTAAAGATTCAGTATGCTATTGTAATATTTTATTTATTTTGAGGCTATAATGGAGGGTTTAATTCTGAACCAATTTTAAAAAAAAAACATACATTCTGCTGTCTTTGATTTTGCTGTGGTATTTTTGCCTTCATTAGTGAAATTGAAAGCTTTGATTGCTTGACGTGGTAATTGTTGGTCTTGGCATGCTGTAGCAGAGATTTGTCAGATATGTTAAGCTTGATGAGTTTAAATATAAACTATTGGTTTTGTGAAGGTTTGAGTAAATATCTTAGCAGTTCTCTGCTTTTAATTGATTGGGTAAACTCATTTGTAGTGCAATTAAATGACTGTATAGTAGATGAGGTGTATCAGGCTTTTGGGAATGGCTAGGAATATACAAGAAGTTAAACAAGCTGTGAATCAGTAAACATGTAGGATGCTGGCCAAGTCATTAATGGTTTCACAAGCTGTCTATCGTGACTTTTTTCAGCCAGCGAGAACTTTTCATACTTCCCAAATTTTAAACTTTTCCTGCAATCACAGCAACATTTTTTCCATATTCCAGCTTGCAAGAGGTAGCAGATAGTAGTAGTCCATCTGTTCAAGTTGACATCAGCCTGGTTCCTGAACCAGCTCAACAAAGCAAGGTTTACATTTGATTTCAGGGAAGTCAGTGATGTAAGTTCAGTAGCTCTTCACTAATGTATAACTGTACCTGATTAAAGCAAATACATGATACTTGTTTTGCGACTAGCTGGAATGCTTTTACTTCGACAAAGATGGTAATGTCAATATGTACATGACATACTGGCTAATGGTGTTGCTTGATAAATTTTAAAACTCTGAGGCAGTGTTGCCCTGAGCAGCTGCTGCCCCTAACCTGTGAGTACTCATTCCTGTCCCTTCTCCACTCAGTTGAGAGTACTTGCTGATGTGTAGTTGCATTGGGAATGGGACTAAGAAAATGACAGTGTTACTCTGCAGCTGGGTAAATGAGGTTAATTAATCATCAGCCTGGCAGCTGCCGGTTCAGAAGTGGAACAGAATAGGGGGAAGTGTGGCTTTGTATGCTCACTTAAGTAGCACCACCTCTGAATGGACTACATGACTAATAAGCTGTAAGGAAGACCCACACCACAGTGGATGCTCATGTTAGGAGTGCTGCAGTGCTTCAGGCAGCATTTGCTCCTGCCTCCAAATAAATTTGATCTGGTCATGGGCATTGCTGGATGGGCATGTAATGATAGGAGGAGGGATAATGATTTTAAACTGAAAGAGGGTAGGTTTAGATGAGATACTAGGGAGAAATTCTTTACTGTGAGGGTGGTGAAGAACTGGAAGAGGTTGCCCAGAGAATCTGTGGCAGCCCCCTCCCTGGAAGTGTTCAAGGCCAGGTTGGATGGGGCGTTGGGCAATGTGGTCTAGTGGAGAGTGTCCCTGCCCATGGTCTTTAAGGTCTCTTCCAACCCAAACCGTTCTATGATTCTGTGATTGCCTAGCAAGGAAGTGGTGCAGTGCTGCTTGCAAATTCTGATCTTAAATAGCTATCCATAAACTTCACCATATTGCCGTACCATGAATCACAGCCTCACAAGTGGCTCCTCTTCACTGGAGGCAACATCAGATGTAATTCCAGGATAGTACAGAATTCAGCAGTCTCTTCACAGGAAATTGCCTGTGAAAATGAAATACAGCTCCTGTTGAGCCGATTGTGGCTTTGCAGGCAGACAAGGCATACAGCTGTCATTGAATGGATTGACAGGGGAAACGGAGGTCTAGGTGTTCTTAATACATTGCTTTTGTGTTAAAGAAATCCTCAAATTTATAATTGTCTTTATAATATACTGAAAATAATGAGCGGCATTTAATGATCAAGGCCAAGAAACCAGGAGTTGAGGTATTGTGCTCTCTTTTAAAAGCACAGACAAAACAAAAAACTTCTATCTAGAGCTGTAGCATTCTGAGAAATAAAGAATAGAGATAGATGTGGGAAAGTGGGCCTGTTGGGGTAAAATCCAAGGTGCAAGTTCAATGTCAGGATTAGGAGAATGGAGCAACATGACAGCTTCAAGGAGAGTGAACGGAAACTAGAAGGCCATCACAATCTACACCATAAGTTGTTATACAATAAAAGAAGCATACTTCAAGGGTGACAAATCAGGGTTCAAAATTACCTAAGACAGAGTTATGCACTAGAACTCACTGTGGCTTTCCCCATCATTTTACCTCAAAGTTTGCAGTTGTGTGTCTGCAGATGTGTACTTTAGTCCAAGCTTTCCACTTCGATTAAGCTGAAGCCTCACTTATGTACAGAAACATGGAAGATTTCCTGTTTCTTTTTTTCTCTAATTTTTTTTTAATGTCCAGGCAATATATAAATCTTTATTTAATGGTTTCTCTTTGGGAAGATTTCATTTTCTATTTTTCATTTTATTGACATTTCAGCAAATTCTAATACGCTCTTTGGAACTGTGGGAGCCGAGATCATCAGTGTCACAGGCAGTCCCGCGTGCAATTGTTGCAGCGTGCTTATTAGTTTAGTGTACTGGTAGGCAGAGGAAATGGCATCACCGCTGTGAACTGGGAGCGTCCTGGAGGAAGAAAGGTCTTCTGCAGGAATAACATGCTGCTGACTAGGGCATAGTTTTCTTTGTAAAGCACAAATGCTGTTTGCTAGGGTTTCTGTGATAAGAGAATGTGAATAAGTGGTATTAGACATTTTTATATGTTGAAGATCATTTAAAAGCACTTTATATAGCATAAACAGTGTATGCATGTGTAAATGTGAGACACAATTGTGTTGCGGTTGTCACATGAGTCTGGTACACTTGAACTAAACAGTTTTTTCCTGAGGAATTGTAGATAACCAAATCCTAGTGGAAAGTTATACAATTACCTGCCTGTGACTGTAAGACTGGAGAATGCAATTTAGAGTGCTGGGGCAACATAGCCAGCATATCCCAAATATTTAATGGACTAGATAGTCCTTAGAACTTACTGGTTTTTCATCTTTAAATATGGTAGCAATGACCCTATAGATCCACGTGATCTGCAGAGGGGATTTATTAAGGCGCTGTCATAATATGCTCTGGTTAATATTTGTCTTTCAAGAGTTCATCTTGGCATGCTGTCCACATTAAAGCTCTCAGAAAGGTCTGCACGCTGAGTCCTCAGGCAGTCCTCAGTTCATTCATATAACTTCTTTTTTTTATTAAGGATTGCAGCTTCAAGCACCTGAAGGGCTCACTTTTCTACATGCCAGGAGTGCACAAGGGGACTGAAATAGGGAAAAGAAAAGATTAAATTACAGGAGATTAAGAAGCTAAAACTGAGTGACAGGCAATAGCAACAAAAAAGAGAGAAAAACCGGAATGTAAGAGAAAGAAAAGCAATGAAAAAGAGTTGTGATGAAGAGGTGGGGAGAGGAGTATGAGGGGAGTGGTAGGAAGAGGTGCAGGAGGACAAAAGGCGTGAAGCCAGCAGGGAGGAGTACTGGAGCTGAATAACTCGGTCTTTATTCCAGTTTGGGAGGGGCAGAAAGGAATGAGACTTAGTAGGAGGCACGAAGGGTGGGGTTTGTCTTGGGTTTTGCCCAAGGTGATTTCCCCCTACTTTAATAATGGTGTAATGTCTTTTACCTGCCCCGTGCTCAGACAAGAACAAGGAGTTAATGAAAGTTTTTGGAATCAATAAGAGAAACTTTTTGTCTAGAAAAAGTTTTTCTCCACAAAGGAAAGCAGAAACATGTTGCTTTTTTTCAGTGCCCTGTAACTTTGGTAGCTGTGGGAACATCTTCATAGAAATAAGAACTAATTTTTGTGTTTAAATAAATAATTATATGCTGATAATTGGACCTCATGGGGACAACAAATTGAATTTAAAAACTACATTGAGTCCCCCCATTTTCTCCTTTTAGTCCTTTCTTGCCATTAAGCAGTCAGTATTCTGGTAATTATATACTGGAGATGCTATAAGCATTAAATGCTACAAAGTAAATTTCAGGCAAGGCTAACATATTCAGGATTTGCCTCAAGGGGATTTAGAGATAATAATGTCCTGTGTCAATGCTTCACAGCGGCGTGATTCCTTCTCTTGAGCCTTGAAAGAAAGAAGGCTTGTCCATGTGATGTTTTCTTTCACTTTGTTTCCCTCGCTGCCTTGACCTTATCTCACCAAGCTTACAGGAAACTTTGTACCCAGTACCCCAGTGGAAGTTCTGCATGTCAAGATACACCTTAATCCCACATTACCATGTGGTTAATGCAGTGATCTTTGTTTCTGATTACCTACTGGTGACCTACCCCTGATACAAATCAATGCTGATGTCAGGGACTGAACAAGAACAGAAGATTTTGCACCTGGCAATGAGGGAGCCACCCCATCGAGCAACTTCTGAGCAATGTTCCTGAGAAACCTGTGACATGTTTTAAAATCCCCTGAATGGAGTCTGAGTCATAATTATCTGACAGCACACTTACAGAATAAGCATTCGTTGGAGTGATTTATAACACTGTGCCATAGCTGGCTTTTGTATATAATTCTTTGTTGATGGAAACACCCAGAGTCTGCCTGTGCTGAGAGCATTTGCTATCTCTGGGGGGGCACTTGCTATATCTGTTGTTTGCTTTGGGGCACAGGGAGGGATTTATTTGGGTTTAGTTTGTGGACTAACTTGTGTTTACTGACATTCATCCTGATTAGGAAACAAAATAAGGTTTGTAGTCATTCTCTAATGTGAAAGGCAGGTCAACTACATTAATTTAAAACCAATTATTCTCTAGTAGACAGGTGTGTTTTTTTAAAATAGATTTATTTATTTATTTTTAAAAGTATTTTAAAATACATTTTTAATAGTTATTCCGACATTTTTCTTTTTCTCTCCCATTTGAACTTCTTCAGTGCGGTTTATTTTGTGAGACACAAAGAAACCAGACAAAGATTTGCCATGAAGAAAATTAATAAGCAGAATCTCATCCTCCGAAATCAGATCCAACAGGCCTTTGTTGAGCGTGATATCTTGACATTTGCAGAAAATCCATTTGTTGTCAGCATGTATTGCTCCTTTGAAACGAGACGTCATTTATGCATGGTCATGGAATACGTAGAAGGTAAAATGTTTGTTCTGTTCTACCAAGAAAGAAGAGAGTTTTCTTACACCAAGAAAGAAAAATAACCTGTATGGCACTTGCATTAGAAAGGCCCCCTGTGTGTCCTCAGTTAAATACAGATTCAGAATCTAAATTCAATAAGGCAACTTTTTTCCCAGTTATTATCTCCAGTGAGAGCTTGTAAAATGCTTGTGCTCCAGCTGTAGTTGGAAATAACTGCTCTTTGAAGTTCCTCATAGTTCTTTTAAGTTCCTCATAGACCGTAATCATAAGTGTCCTAGCATTCAAAGTTCATGTGGAAAATGCTGGTTGCTTTTCTGGAGTTGAAATTTTCATTAGCCCATGTTGGGGTATTTGTAATAGTTATTTTTACGAAGAAAGAGGGAAGAGGAAGCAATTTAAAAATGTACTGATCTTGAACGAGAACAGTGGACAGAGGTAGTGCAAGATGAGATACCCAGACTATGGTTGTGTGGGCTTTCTTTTTTTTTTTTTTAAAGTAGCAGCACAGACTTCATTGATTTCCAGCTGAACCCTTGTACTGCTTGCTCCCAGCTTCACACTCTGTTTCCAGTGCAGTAGCTGGTGTGGTTACATGTTTGATTGAATCATCTGATGGGAAAATAAACATTTATGACTACAGTTTGTGTCTCTTTCTGCAGCCTATATGGATTATACTGATACACCTCAGAATTTATAGCGTCATCTGGAACATTTGTCCTGTTTCCACAGGTGGAGACTGCGCTACTTTGATGAAGAATATGGGTCCCTTACCTGTAGACATGGCAAGGATGTACTTTGCAGAGACTGTTCTGGCCTTGGAATACCTTCATAATTATGGAATTGTACACAGGGATTTGAAACCAGACAAGTATGTATATAGAATATAACCAAAAGAGGACTTTGAAATTACTAGACAAAATATGAAAGGTGTAAACTTGCTTTGAATGTTTTTGATTTTTTTTTTTAAATTGTGAAGGTTATGTAGATTCACAATTTCTGCACATTATGTGAATTTTCATTACCTGCAGTTAGAGAAAATGCATTTTTACCAAGAGAGCTCTGTAAAATTGTCTGTCTTTAAGACAGAAAAGGCTATTGGAATAGCTAAAAAAAAAGTACTTCTGGCTGAAATGGAGAGAAATGGATCTTTCAAAATATGTTTAAAACACTGTTTAATACAAAGTGTCATCAACTTGCAGACATTTGTATATATGAAGACAAGATTGACCAGATTAGAAAACCCTTCCTGTTTTATGTTTTTCGGGGGGATTTTTTCTACATTTAGAAGTACCATGTTTCTCCTATACACGTAAACAACCTTCCAGCAAGTAGCTGCAGTAAAACCTATGGCTGTTGCAGCTCCATTAATCTTCCTGTTTCACATTAAAAAAAAAAAATAAAAAAAATTGGAGTCTTGTCTGTTGAGTGACAATACCTGAGATGTTGGGGTTGTTTTCCAAATGAATGACCTAACTGGTTACAGACAGAAAATGCTTACCTCATTGCAAAAGGGACATTTATGCTGTTTTGGATCTTTCAGGTGATGACTGTTTCTTTTTCTTCAAAGCATCTAGCATTCAGCTCTCAACACTTATATAATTCCATAAGATGTTGTGCGATTGCATATAAAAAGTTTGTTTACATCTGATACTAATAGTAACAAATGCAAGACTGTCAGATTTTTTAACTTGTTTATTTTATACCTGCTTAAATTACTTCTTAAGCTGTCTGTATTTTTGCAGTGCTAATGAAACATTTTCCTCTGAGTATTATAATAATAATAATCACATAACATTGAATTATGTCACAGTAACTTCAGATTGTTCTGATTTTCAGTTTATTGGTAACATCCATGGGCCATATAAAGCTTACAGACTTTGGCCTGTCAAAGGTGGGGCTTATGAGTTTGACTACCAATCTGTATGAGGGTCACATTGAGAAGGATGCCAGAGAATTCCTTGACAAACAAGTAAGACACACCTTTTTCATTTCTACATTGAATGTTCAAATAAAGTGATGTTTTGCCAGTAGAATGTAGCACAATGCTGTATAAACTGTTGTTATTTCTGCATTGGTGTTGCAATTGTGTATGTCAATTACTTTTACTGATGCCCTGCAGATTATACTAGGCTTTTTTCTTTTTACATTAGGATCTATTAGTAAGATGAACAACCTAATTGTGTGCAAGTGAATCTGTGAGAGAGACAAATGGAAAACTGGTTTTTTTAAGGAATTCAGAAGTCTCGGCAGAGTACTTGTGGAGCTCATGATGCATTGTACAACCAAGGGTGCTAAAATCCTTGCTATGGCCCATTTGCCTTTAAACATGCCTCATTACCATTGCTCACAATCTGTTCACTGTAAAAGTTACTTAAGATAAAACCATCACAACTTTCATGTAAAGATAAGGATATGTTCAAGTTAAGTAAAATATTTGCCATGATGGACTCCCATGTACAAAATGCAAACTGTCCTTTGAATGACAGATACGCAAATGTTGACCATGATGCCTGTAAATGTAGCTAGGTCATTCTAAAAACATTAGCTGTTAGGTAAACTTAGCAGACTAAAACCTACTGGATTCCATTTTTCCATGTTTCCATATTATTTAACATTTTAAGAATTATAAATGATGTGACATAGCCTAGCTAGACTTGTTTTACCATCATGCTTATTTTCTTTCCTTTAGGTCTGTGGTACACCTGAATACATAGCTCCTGAAGTGATACTGAGACAGGGTTATGGAAAACCAGTGGACTGGTGGGCTATGGGAATTATCCTTTATGAATTTCTTGTTGGGTGTGTGCCATTCTTTGGAGATACACCAGAAGAGCTGTTTGGACAAGTAATCAGTGGTGAGGATTGTCACAAAAAACCTCAAATTTCTTAGCTTGCTGTGAAACATTTCTATTTCTGTTAATAGTAAAGATATTTACAACTTTACTGATAGACTAGGTTTTTAAGCTAGTTTTGCTCAAAAAAACCACTATTATTGTAATACTGTAATACACAATTTGCTGTCAAAGCAGTAAGAATAAATTTGGGTTAAAAGCTGAACTTGCTGTATATTGTTGCTGAGTACAGAAATGCAGTAATGTAGAGTGGAATGGTTAAGCTGCACTGTTCGAAAAAGAAAAGCAGTATTAGTAGAAAAGTAGTGCCACTATAGCACAGTTATTTCAGTCTCTAGTAGGGAAATTATAACAGAGAAGAAACAGTTAAAATAAATTTGCATAAATAGGAAAATGCCTCATGGCACAATGAAGAAATTAACAAAGATGTAATAAAACCCTAAAACAAATGTCTCCCAAATAATAAATAATGAGAAAGAGAAGGAAACAAATTCAATTCACAGATTGTTAATGATTTCATTGGTGATTGTTGTAATGTAATGTTATTCCTGTAGCAGCTGTTCTTCTTCCATTTAAAATTCAATAACCTTTTAGATCTTAACCTGCAAGCTGACCCTAAGTATTGCTATGTGGCTTGTGGCAAAACTGAATGATAATTAAACAGAAATGTTTACTATCCTACCTGCTGTTTCCATAAATTTCCCAGATGCATAGATGTAGAGGGCCTCTATTTATGCCAAAAATTTAACAGAATGACACCTCTGTTACTGAATATTTCCCAGTCTGTTTTATGGTCTGCTTAAAAGGTCCAGTAGCTAAGACAAAAAAAAATAAACCAACCCCCAAAAAGAGCATACAAAAACCCCAACAGAAATAAAACTAACCACACCTCTGGTTCCTTATTCTCTGAGAACACAACAAATCCCCTTTTGTACTTAAGGAGAAACGATCATCATCTTTCCTCCATCTCTGAAGTTGAAAGCCAGACTTTTTGTAAACTGTAATGAAAGGGATTTGTGAGTTGCCTCTAGTATATGACCTCTTTATACAACATCCTAGCTGTTCATGGATTTATAACAATGTTGTTTTCTGATATATGCTTAGGCCTTAGTGGCTAGGAGAATCAACTGTTTAATTAACACAAGCAGCAAATGCTGGCTTTGTTCTGGATGCCTCATGGCTGCGATGCATATTCATGCTTTATTTTCAAAATCAGATTTAAACTGCAGTGGAAGCTGTAGGCAGGCAAACATGGAAATAACTCATGTTTTTATTGCATTTCCAGACACATGCACATGTGTTTTTATCTTCACACTCTGACTGGGAGAAGGGGAGGGAATAGTCTAAAACTAATGACAAAATTTGCACTTTAGACTTTATTTTGCATGTGGCATTAATTTTACATTTTGTAAAACAAATTGTCATGTGTTACAATCTAGCTGATACTTATTTACATAACTTTATCTGTTTGAATGTGTCCATTTATCTTCCAGAAATTACCTGTAGAAGTGTATGTTTGTAAGCCTGTTCTATTCCCACTCACTCTCCAAGACTGTTGGTCAGCAGTTTCTTGTTTCAATGTTCACTTGTCAGTTTCTTCTATTTTAAATGTCCTTACTTATTGAAATCATTCTGTCAGTATCTGCAGGAGAACTGTTCTGTTGGATGTTTCATGTGCTAAAATATGTCCCCTTGTATTCAACTGTAAAACCCATGTTAAATAACCAAAACTATACCCTAAACTTTCAGTCGAGTTTCTGTGGGTGAAATCTACATTCCACTTTAAAATACACTTTAAAATCTTGTCCCCTCATTTTTCTTCACTCTTTCATCGTAGGTTGCCTTTCCTGCCCCCAAGGTGTACAACTGTGGGAGGCATCAGTGTAAACTTAGGTGCCTAAAATTATTGGGCTTAAAAATAATGCTCCAGAAACAGGTTAAGTTTCATACCTGTTTGCTTCAATACCTTTCCTTAAACTCTGAAACACAAACATTAAACTTCTCTGTAGCTTCTGATGATTATTTCTCCAATTATGATCACTTTGAAGAAAAAATCTTGATGATATAATGACAACAAAATACTTAACAGCCTTCTGTATTTCCTGAGCTCCTGGCATTCTGTTTCTCTGATGCCAAAATCCTTGTACCTCCCAAGAAACTTCTGCAGAGTTTTGTCTAAACCTGCAAAATACTACATTTGTGGAGGCAGCTTCTGCTAAAAATCAGACAAAACTTGCTGGAAAGTTGTTATGAAGTTCATGCTCATATTGAAGCTGGCACAATTTTCCATTGTTTAATTTAAATGAAAGTTTGGTGGAATTTTTATTCAGCCTTATCTGAATACTGCAAGGTTTAGTATCTTGATTCCATGGTTTAGGTCCAACTTGCTATGAAGTACAAAAGCCTTAGTAGTATAAGAGTCAGTAGAGTGAGGTGGTTTTCCTCTAAGGTATGAAACACTTGGAAAAAAGCTCCATTGGCATGTATCTCTCTAGAGCAGAATCCGATACCTCGGCCCTTAGTCATGGGAGAAATGACTTCAGTGAGTCTGCTAGCACTAGAGAAGGATTACAGATGTGAGCAGTGACTGTTGGGTCAGGTCAGCTGTGTCCATCTTAACAGCAGTTTCCATGGAACAGAACTAAAATTTAAACCATGATTTTGAGGGGGGGCAGGGAGAACGGACAACATACAAGTTATGCCAATATTTTGCAATAGTTTTCCATGAGCCAAGCATTCCTGTATTCTGTTGTTAAACACTGTTTTGGGTTAAAGGATACTTCTGAGGAAAATGGGAACATAACAATATGTTTATAGAGTCTGCATAGAGAGTATAAAAATCAGAAGTAATTGGTATGCAACAGAGAGCAACTTGGAAAAATTGCCTTAACTCTGACTTTATTGCTAGGTCACTATGAGAGCTGTCACACAGTTTCTGCTGAATATTGGGATCAGGCTTTAGTAATAACAAAAAACTTTTCTGTTCTGCTAGATGAAATCAACTGGCCTGAAAAGGATGAAGCACCACCTCCAGATGCCCAGGATCTGATTACCCTGCTGCTCAGGCAGAATCCTTTGGAAAGACTGGGAACAGGTTAGGAGGCATTATTTTAAGTTGTTACTGTGCTAGAAATAGCTTCTATATTTGGCGTTGGCAGCTTTTGTTCACCTGTTTGTTTTGCCCAGGAAACATCTGTCATGGCAAGTAGCATGACAACATGCCATTATAGCAGAGGGTATCTTAGAGATTCAGACCAGTAATAGGAGCTTAACAAGATGATGACTGTCCTTGGTTTTTTTGGCGTTTATGTGTGGTCATTCGCATTTACTCTTAAGTTGATAAGTAAACCAGAAATTTCTCAAAGGTTCAGTTAGCCATTGGATGGCGTTCCTTCATGAATACAGTATTAGATAACTAGACACAGAAATAGACAAGGGGAATCAAAATACAACTGATGCTTCCTTTTTCAGAAGTGTCTTAGCCTGGCAAATTGGTTCCTCCAGGCTTTAGAGTGGGTGATGAGTACTCCAACTAATTATTCAGAAATTACTGTCTGAGGTTGTATTGTGAAAGATCTTGTCATTCTCATTCAGCAAGCACTGCTACCTAGCATGGAAAAGAATAAAACCAAAAGTGTGAATGTTAAGGAAGTAAATGGGTATCAGCAAGAACACAACCTGCCAGCTTATTCCACTGTGGTCATTCAGTGCTCATTCCATTTCAAGAGAAGAACCTGGCATGTGGCATTAGGAGCGGTGAGCCTGCATAGGCTAATGAAAGCACCGTGCATTTATGTAATAGAGTTTATTTGTTAGTTGATGGAGCAGGATTTATTTGGGAATTTGGGAGAGAGGTAGTAATGAATAATACTGCACATGAAAAGTGTTAATGTGTGGGAACCCTAGTCACTGACTGCCATCCCACTGGGCAGAGCACTATGTAAACACAGAAAAAAAGGCATCCTACACGAGAGCCTGAATATAAAGGTGTAATCTTATTTATAGTGAACCTTGTATGCCATGGCTATAATACTGGGGATGCCAAGGAAACCAAGTGGCAGTGTGAGTCAGCATGAGAGTACTTGGAAATTGCTGGCAAAACTGAGTCCAGTGGTCAGATTGTACTGCGTATTTTTAGAACTAATATAAAAAGGAGCTTTAGGAATCAGTTCATAACTGGCCTTACCACGGTTACTCAGGGGGAACATGAGTATAACCCAGACTCCAAGTACTATTGACATGGTCCCGAATGACAGGCCTTCCTTTAGGACATGATGATGTGACTTAGTTGAGTGAACTGCATGTCCCTTGTTCCCTGAGCATCTGGGATCTGTGTGAATAGCCCTTAGACATCACTGTAGCTGATGGTCTGGAGTAAGTGGCATCCAGCAAAGTTTGTTGTTCTCCCTTGCCCCATGTTGAACAAGTTAAGAGTGACGGAGGTGTCATGCCCGAAGTCAGCTTCTCCACTTGCTGCCTGCTTCATCTGCTGCAAAGGGCACCACTGCCAAGGGCAAAACGAAGAGCCACAATGAGTTCCATTGCCTTGTTTTAAGTATACGCCTTTCAGGCATTGCATCATTGTTAGGATGCTTTTTGCTGGTGAGCACAGTGTTAATTCAAGACTGTCACCCTCTGAGAGGCTGGATCAGAAGTAGATTGCAAATTCTGCCTCTTTTGTTACAGCTGGTTGAGAAAGTGAATTGGCTAGGATGAGGCTGGCTTAACTACTGTAATGGTCAGTGCCACCACATGGAGCATCTGTGCACCTCCTTTACGGGCTGATTTCTTTCGACTGTTCGTGGTGTCTCAAGAGCTGGCAGTCTGAAGAAGGAAATTGGGCAGGCATTTCTTTGAAGCGCAGAGGGATGTTTAGAAACCGCAACAAAGCTGTTGGGGTTTTTTAAGTGTCAGAAGCAACTCGCAGGGACGGAGGCTGCAATGTGACAGGACCCCTGAGAGTACTGGAAAATAGCACGGTTTATCCCAGGCTCCACCATGCATTTCAAATGACAGCCCTATCTATTTAATACATATTAGCTAGCTGTGTAACACTCCATGAAAATCGTAATTGTGTATTTGCTCAGGAGACCTGAGTGACATAGGTTGTAGGAAGAGAGATAGATACTATACTTATTTTGAAGAAGGAAAATGACAAAAAAACGACCTTTTTGGGTTTGAAGTGTGTGAATCCAATCAAGAATTACACAATTCTGACGTAATACCCGTTACTGTGCTCAGAGAAATGTTCACTCCTTGGCTAGTGACTTACAATGAGATGTGATTTTGATTTCCTTTGGGAAAATTCGGCTTTTATGAATTTTTCCTGGTGCAGTCAGAAAAGTAAAGAACCTAACGTAGAAATCTTGACACTCTGACTTAGAGACCAATCCTGGTGGACACTTAACACTTTTACTGTGGCGCGCTCTCTCGACTTAGCCTTGGCATAGGGAAGTTTACATGCTGTAACAATGTGGTGGGTTGACCTTGGCTGACCACCAAGCAAGCATCAAACTGCTCTGTCACTGCCCTCCTCAGCTGTACAGGGGAGGCAAAATACGACAAAAGGCTCCTGGGTCGAGATAAGGACAGGAGATTACTCGGTGATTACTATCACGGGTGAAACTGACTTGACTCGGGGAAATTAATTTAAATTATTGCCAGTTAACAATGGAGTAGGATAATTAGAAATAAGAACAAATCTAAATAAACCTTTCCCTCGCCCCTTCTGTCTTCCTGGGCTCAGCTTCACTCTGGATTTCTCTACCTCCTCCCCCCATGCGGTGCAGGGAGTGGGGTTTGTGGTCAGTTCATCACACGGTGTCTCTGTTGCTTCTTCCTCCTCAGAGGGAGGACTCCTCACACTCTGCCCCTGCTCCAGCCTGGGGTCTCTCCCATGGGAGACAGTCCTCCACCAACTTCTCCAACATGAGTCCTTCCCACGGGCTGCAGTTCTTCACCAACTGCTCCAGCGTGGGTTCCCCACGGGGTGCAGCCCTTCAGGAACAGACTGCTCCAGCGTGGGTCCCCCACGGGGCCACAAGTCCTGCCAGCAAACCTGCTCCAGCCTGGGCTTCTCTCTCCATGGGGCCACAGGTCCTGCCAGGAGCCTGCTCCAGCACGGGCTTCCCATGGGGTCACAGCGTCCTTCCAGGTGCCTCCACCTGCTCTGGCGTGGGGTCCTCCACAGGCTGCAGGCAGATATCCGCTCCACCATGGACCTCCATGGACTCCAGGGGGACAGCCTGCCTCACCATGGTCTTCTCCAGGGGCTGTAGGGGAATCTCTGCTCCAGTGCCTCGAGCACCTCCTGCCCCTCCTTCTGCACTGACCTGGGTGTCTGCAGAGTTGTTCCTCTCACATCTTCTCACTCCTCTCTTCTGGCTGCTGTTGTGCAGCAGTTTTTTACCCTTTTGTAAACACGTTACCCCAGAGGCACTACCACCATGGCTGATGGGCTCAGCCTTGGCCAGCAGCAGGTCCATCTTGGAGCTGGCTGGCATTGGCTCTGTTGGACCTGGAGGAAGCTTCTGGCAGCTTCTCACAGAAGCTACCCCTATAGGCCCCCCCTCTACTAAAAGCATACCATGCAAACCCAATACAGTCAAGTTGGCAGTAACTCTTTCTGCTGCAGGTTACCTGTTCAGTTTTTAGAATTAGATTTATGCTTATTAACATCATCGCCCACTTCCCCAGGACAAAAACTCCAGTATTTTATTGCATTCTTGTAGTTGTTTCTTAACTTGAAACTAGTGTGATTGTTTAACACATATTATAACAAGTAGGCAGTAATTCATAAGAAGATCAATTATAAGATATTTCCTATGGAATTGTGTATTACTGCAATAAAACACCAAAAGGAGCTCCTGATCAGCAATGGTATTTTCATTGCGCTACTATTAAGAATCTTTCTTCATTACTTTCAAACTTGGACTTACTCATGTAGCACACATACTTACATTTTGATGATGACTACTGCTACATCTGATGCTTCTGACTAATGTGTAGCTGATAGGTAACAATTAGTATATCCAGAAAAATAGAAATGTTAAAAGGGGGAAGATGATAGAGCAATGCTACCACTATTAAAGAAATGGCAACAACAAAACAGGGATGAGGAGGTGCTCTAACAGTTTTAGGAGATTCTACTGGAAATGGGTAGTAGAAGTTCCTGCCTACAGTGATAACTCTGCCTTTCCATGATAATTTGCATTTTTTGGTCAGGGGTTTGGTTGAATGAATGTCAGAGGATTTGGTATAATTTGCTTAGTGTTTTTCTCTGGCTCCCCCAGGTGGTGCATATGAAGTAAAGCAGCATAAGTTCTTCAGGAGCCTTGACTGGAATAGTCTGCTGAGGCAGAAAGCAGAATTCATTCCACAATTGGAGTCTGAAGATGACACAAGCTATTTTGACAGTAGGTGTTTGATGGTATTAAAAACTGTGATGAATGCCTTGTTTAAATAATCACTGCCTTTGACTTTTGCTAACTGTTTTGAAAATCTTTATCAGAACCAATGGCAGCTTGCATTTTACCGGTGGTTTTACATTTCAGCAGAAATAATCTTAAGACTAAAATTACAGTTTTAGTTAATATTAAGTCTTGGTATCCATTCTTCCTGATAAATTCATGTACTTTATTTTCCTTGTCTGTAGCTCGTTCTGAGAAATACCACCATATGGAAACTGAGGAAGAAGATGATACCAATGATGAAGATTTTAATTTGGAGATAAGACAGTTTTCCTCATGTTCACACAGATTCTCAAAAGTAAGTAAAAATTGTTATGTCAGTATGTATTATGTACATAAACGTTTTGCTACTTTTATAGGCTTTGGAAATGCTAGATATGGGAGTATGTATAGGATATTGTTTCTTCAAGAAATGTTAACTGAAATTGAGCAAGAATGAAATGAATGCTGTTAAATCAAAACATGGGAAGATTATGTAGGAAAGTTATTTCTTGAATCCTTGAGAAGATAATAGGAAATTATATAGGCAGGTTGGTATTTTCTGTAGAAAATTCATGATAGCGTAGATAAATTTTAGGCAATCCATTCTGTTAAATGCTAATGCGTGTTCCTTACATTGGTTTCCTTGTACGTAATTTCCATGTTGCTCCTGAGTATCTTGCAGGTGATGGCATAACAAAGATTACAGTACTAGTCTGTAGTAGCTATTAATTAAATTACATTAGACTGAAGGAAAAAAGCAAAGTAGTAGTTGGCATGTGATTTGGTCGAGGAGAAATAGGGATTCGAAGGAGTGATTTGAATGCTGTGAATTGAAGGTAAAGCTGTCCAAAGGGTAGTATATGTAGTTTAGATGAAAGCTGATTATTGCTGGACAAGGGACACCAGTGGGAGCAGAGTGGACATGTTCGAAAAGTACTGTGGAGGGTAATTTGGCAGGAAATAATGGAAGTGGAATGCCTAATGGGCGTGCTTTTAGTCTTAACATAGTATCCAGCAGTGATTTTCAAAAGTTTTCTATTTAAAAAGTTTCTTTAACCTCCTTTAGGAACTGTTTAAAGGTATTTGGTAAATCTGTGTATCATGTTTGTCCTGGGTTATGCTTTAATGCATTGGTGGATTTTACTCTAGCTCCCCAGTACCACATATGTATTGTATGTGTGATGTCATGGAAGATCAGAGACAGGGATCGTGGATGTAGTTATGCTCACTCTATGTAAAGTACTTATTTTGACTCAGTGATAAGTTTCAAAATCAGATACTGGTAAATGACGCAGTCTCTTTGGAGGTAACTTGGACAAGAGGCAATGGGCACAACTGAAACGCAGCAAGTTCTGCATGAACACAAGGAAACTTTTTTTCACTGTGAGGGTTGTCAAACACTGGCACAGGTTGTCCAGAGAGGATGCAGAATCTCCATCCTTGGCTTCAAAAGCCATCTGGACATGGTCCTGAGCAACCAGCTTTAGGTGACCCTGCTTGTGCAGAGGGGTTGGACAACATGACCTGCAGAGGTCCCTTCCAACCTCATTCTGTGAACTTCTGTCCTTTTGAAAGCTCTGTACCACAGTAATAGTTTGCTTTAATGTCGTTATGTCGTTGCATCACTAGCTGTGCCTCTCAGGCTGCAGCAAATATAGCTGACAATTTCTGTGTGCTGCTTGTCAGCTAAGCAAACAACAGACTTCCAATGATCAGAGTTTATTTTTTTAAAATCCTTTAGCCAAGTAATTTATTTGTAACTTCAAAGTCAATTCAGATTAATTTTTCCGCTTTCCACACCTGACTGATACTAAGTCAGTATTTTAGGATTAGGGCTTTTTTTACCTTGATTGGCTTTATGTTTGTGAATTAATCCAAGATGTGCATTAGTCCTGTGACCTAGAGAGCCCAAGGCTATGGATTTTGTTTTTACTCTCTTGGTTCACACAGTGAAATGGGGAGAAAGCTAATGAATTAATAATGAGAACAGATGTTATTCATGACCCTGTACGTGAGGAGCCAAGAAAGCAAAATAGGAAAGCATTTTAAGAACACAAACTCTTGGAAATTTAAAAAGGCTCAACAAATATGAAGTTTGCACTCTGAAGTACGACATAAGCATTTAGAACATGCAGAGTACAACCTGAAATGTGCTTTCCTGCATATCTTTTTATATCAAATATGTAAGTGATGAGTTTTTTTGTGGGTTTTTTTGTCTGTAATAGGTTTTTAGTAGCATAGATCGAGTCACTCAAACACAAGCTGAAGAAAAGGAAGATGCAGGAGACAAAACAAAAAGTGTAACATTGCCTTCTGTGGAATCTTTAAGCTGGAGTTCAGAATATTCTGAAATGTAAGTAGAAGAAGGTGCTGGAAGTGGTCCACATCCTGCTTGCCAGGTAGCGGGCCTCCTTATCTCAATAGCTGCATGAAAGTTTGCTTCTTTTTAATGCAGACAACAAATATCTACATCCATCTCCTCTGACACTGAGAGCAGCAGGCAGCAACACAGTTCTGGTTTGCTTCCGAAGTTGGCCATATCAGCCGAAGGAGAACAGGATGATTCTGCTGGCTTAGTGGGACCCCGGGAGGAACAGGAAAAGCCTGTGTTTGTGAGTGGGGATATAGTGCAAGATGAACCTGAAGTAACCACTCCAGCAAGTACGATCAGCAGCTCCACACTATCAGGTAATTCACAGTGGGTCTCCTGACTGATTACAGTAGAAACAGTTGTGGACCTTCTTTGTTTAGCACAAGCATTCATGGATTTAGTAGTCCTGTATTTCAGAATTACTTTTAAAAAAAGCCATCCCAGGAGGGGTCTGGTTTGCCTCAGGCAGAAGCTAATAAAATCCTGTGAAAATATGTATGGGAAAGTTTTTCAACATTTTTGGAAATGCCAACATTTGATGTCACCCCACTGACTCTGGAGGGCGGCTAGGCAAATGAAGAAAGCAGTGACTTGACCACAGAGCCTTTGCAGGATCCTTCTGTGGAGAAAAGGAGTCTTAGATCCCTTGAGCACTTAAAGAACTATTTTTATATCTTCCCTCACTGAAGTTGGTGATCTTTTGATTGATCATCCTGCAGTCGTTCCAACTGATCTGTATTGCTACATTCTAACACACTGTGCTGCACCATTGTGTGTTTTTAATTAAGACATCTCAGTGATGTTTGCCTCTCAGAATTGGCGTTGTCTGACTTTCAGAAGTCACTTTTGTCATTAGGAATCTGGGATGGGGTGTTGTAAACCATTCCCTACTTAATTTATTTCCTTTATGTATCCCTCTCCCAGCTCAAGTATTTGCACACAGTTCAATAGGATACAGGGCCCTGGTATCTTCTGGTTTTGTACTTTCAGAGGAGTTTTGTATAACTGTTGGAAGACCTGATACTTAACACAGATCTATCAATGTTATGATTGTCCATATATAGATTCTAATTACCTTCTCTACACATTTACCTGTCTTCAACTTATTTCTCTTCTGTACCTCACTGAGTTTTCTCAAGCTACCCCTTTCTATTTCCATACCCCTGATTTCCCTTATAGTCCCCATTTTCCTTCCCACTTCCTCCTCTCCGTTTCCAGGAAAATAAATTTCCTTAGGTTCATCCAGCTGCACAACCATTTCCATCTCCTTCCCTTGTCTAAAACCTTGACTGTGCTGTACCTCAAGTTGTGCTCACTCCCCCCAGTCCCATGTTATGGTGTTGGCATTAGTGCAGCAGTCACAGTGTTCAGGATGTTCAGTGGCCTTAAAGGAATACTCAGAATTACTGCTATGTATTTAAACAGGCGACCTACCCTTGGTGCGTGTTTTGTAAGGTCATAAAACTTCCTGTGACATCTTTCAATTTTTGAAGAAATCCCGTGCAGGTTGTTCATGCGACACAAGAGCTTCATGGTTTTTTTTCATTGTTTGAAACATTGTTGTCCTTCCTCCATTTAGTATTGCGGAAGTTCATTACCTATGATAGACCAATACCGATATGGTTGTAATACTGGGTTTAGTGGTGCCAGGTGTCCTTCTCCTGTGTGGCAGAAAACCACCCAAAGAATAAAAGCGAAATTTAATAAGTAAAAATAAAATTATACTTACTGTTTTCATTATTTTGGAAAAGTTGTTAAGCCGATAGTGACTTACGTGGGATTGGAGTCTTTCATTTATTTTAGGAGGACTTTACATGAAAAATAAATGTATGATTAAGTTCTCTCAGGTGAGTGCTGCATATTGAGATACCAGACTTGCTTCAGCTTTTGTCTCTTTTACTTTAGTCAGTGACTACAAAAACCTGTTGCTTCAATTCATTCTGTTAATGTTTATGCATTTTGTAAGTCAGGAAGAATTACTCAGATTTCTGTAATGTTGTTTTATGAACATCTTAACAGAAAGAAAAATTCCTATCTCACAATTGTACCCTTTCCCTTCCCTGACCCCCAGTTTTCCCTCAATGTGTTTATCCCTTTTTCTTTGTACAGTTGGCAGTTTTTCAGAGCACTTAGATCAGATAAATGGAAGAAGTGAGAGCGTGGACAGTACCGATAACTCCTCAAAGCCACCCAGTGAAGTTGCATCTCATATGGCTCGTCAGCGATTAGAAAGCACAGAGAAAAAGAAGATCTCTGGAAAAGTTACAAAGTCCCTTTCTGCAAGTGCTTTGTCCCTCATGATCCCTGGAGGTAGAGATAAATCTTTTTGTTTAAAAAGTTATGATTTATGCATACTTGATGCTTTATGACGTAAATGCAAGATGTTGGAGAGTCCAGAATGGATTTTGTGTCACACTTTTTTGTTTAACTTGTTCAAATGCATTGCTAGATGATGCAATTTCATCAGTGAGTTACAGTGGTCACGTTACAGCTGAGGAACCTTCTCTGACAGGTAAAAGTATAGCTTAGTGGCGACTACTTTGTGTTCGACTGTGTGCATAGAGCAGGATGCAGGCTTTAGTCCTTGGCCCATCCTGCAGCAGTGTAGCTTAAGTTTTAAGTAGCTCACTATGTACAGCTCCAAGAATAGCTGTTTGTTGCAGCAGCACATTCAGCCTGACTAGTTCTGTCTCATCTCCCATAAGGAAAGGTGTTAAGCTGGAGGAGTGTCACAAACATAGAAATAGCATGTAGGCTCCTGTTTGTATTATGTTGGTTTACATGAAGTGCTCAAAATTTGAAGCCAGAAATACCGCTATAAGTAAGTGGAAGTGTAACAGTAGTATTGAGTGTTTCCAGATGAACCATTGGTGCTTTGCTTTTTACTGGTTCAGAATCAAAGTCCAGATTTCCCAAATCTGAGGCATTTTTTCCAAAAGTAGGATTACATTTCAACTTTGCATATTGGCCATATGCTGCTTTGAGACCTCAGGTGTGATATTTAAGTATCTGGTAACATAACCCTGTACTTGCTCCATATGTTCAAAGGTGGCTTTGACACTAACTTCAGCAGGTTGCTTTGAGTCCTCAGGCTAGTAGAGAATTGTACAGTGTTGGAGAGTTGATTGTGGCTCTCGGACTTCACCTCTCCTTGGGCTGTAAAGCACACGTGCCCTGTGTGCTCTTTAATACCTTGGTGAGCAAACACTCTGCTATCATGCAGATGTGTTTTGAAGAGTTGAAAGACCCATCTGATCCCTGTTACTCCGGGAATTTCTGATTCACCTCATGTTTTCTACCCTTCTTCACCATACAGTTCAAAGAGCGGCATAGGCTTCCTATGCAGTACCTGTAATTCCAGCAGCTAACCATGAGGATGTTTTAATGAGATAAGTCAAGAGGAAAATGTTGAGTCTCAGAGGAGTAATTGCCCCTGCTTGAATGAGGACAACTAGGTGACAGTGAAAAGAATACTTAGCATTTCTGTGATGCTGTCCGAATGTGAATGATCATTCTCACAAAATGCATGAGGGAGGTGGAGATGACTTTATACAATGAGAAAGATAGCGACCACGTGCTCAGCCTGTTCAGGGCAGTGTTGGTGCTGAAAACTGCAAGTTACTTGCAAACGCTGGGCTTGTTCCTTGCGTAGACTCTTTCTTCCAAATAATATTTCTCTCCCAAATGTCTTAAGTGGTTCTTTTTGTATAGCCCTGTAACAGTTAGCACCATGGTTATTTTTTCTGCTTGTAGAGAGCCTGTAGTGCGTGGTAATTACTGAGATTAGCTATCACAGGAGCATGATATACACATTTTTTAGTATTTGTATTTTGGTAGTTCTTTCACAGCTGTCAAGTAAGAATCACTAAGTTCAGAGATGATATAGACCAAGCTACTGTGCTCATTAAACTACCGTTTTCTGTCAGTTTAATCTCAGCATCGTTCTATAAAATCTAAACTTAACTTTGCCTGTACCTGAAAATGTTGTCATTATAACTATATCAACCTAAATCTTACACGTTAGGGTTTTTGGACAATATTAGGTACAGCTATCTTATTTGTGTTTATCTGTAAAATTAACTACAGCAACAGACAACCAGTGTTCCCGACCTGAGTCACGTAGCTGAGAGTCGCAGGACGTGTCCCACACGCAGCAGAAAGCAGAGGGCGGGTCATCTGGACATGTTTTAGAGCCAGAGGGTGACAGTGACACCCTGTTTGGGGCTTGGTTGTTCTGTGGGATCTCAGCATTAGCCCAGTGATACCCATCTCTAGGAGCATCTGGTGACTCACATCCAGGAACTAGAGTCTCTGCTGTCAAAGCATGTCTGCCCTCGCATGATACTGCTTGGCACGGATGCCAAACCTGCAGTGTTTCTGGGCTGCATTCCTTTGCAGAGCTGTCAACCTGTTACAGTCACCAAAGCGTGTTTTATGCTGCTGCAATTGTTCTTTCAAAGTTAGCAATGACTGTGTTTCCTATCTAAAAGGAAAAAGCAGTCTACTTCTAACAAGTTAACCCTCGCATTAAAAAATACAGTTTACGCTACAGGAAAGAAATTTAGTTCTAATATCTAGTAGTTGGTCAAACTTCTCATTCACTAAGATACACATCGATTGAGGAGGAGAGAGTGTTTATGCAAAGACAATGATATATTTTGACACAAAGCTGTCATAAAACTAAGCAAATTCCCTGTTCTGTGTCTGTATTTTTGTCTGCTTAGAATGTACTCTAATAAGCAGATTTTTTTTCTTCCAGATGTGTTTGGTGTTTCTCCTTTGGGAAGTCCTATGTCCCCTCATTCCCTATCATCTGATCCTTCATCCTCCCGAGATTCATCTCCCAGTCGTGATTCATCGATTGCTGCTGCAAATCCTCATCAACCAATAGTAATTCATAGTTCAGGAAAAAAGTATGGCTTCACCATCCGAGCAATCAGGGTTTACGTTGGTGACAGCGATATCTACACTGTACACCATATTGTTTGGGTAAGATAATAGTTTTTTGCTTATATACAGCCACAGAAAACTGTAATGATGTATTTGCTTTTGGTTTTTGTACCTCTGGTATCTGTTAACAGTTACTGCGTAAATTGTGGTGATGTGCCGAACAATTTTCTTAGAATGAAATTCATGCCTGTACACAAGACCGGTGTTGGCTGTAGGGACAACACAAGCCACCTTTGGCAGAAGTGGTACCTGCATATGATGTTGCCCTTCTGCATGGATCACTTCCACTTTTGTCAAGTTGGGCAATTGTGAACAGCCATGTCTAAGTTCAGACTACTACATCAAAGAAAACGAAAGGGTTGGTGCGGCTTCTCTAACTGAAGGCAAGATCTACAGTACTAGGAGATTATAAACAGAAATTGTTGAAATATACATGGAGTTTATGGAACTGTGTCAATTAAAGGACTCATGAAAGTCAACAGTATTTTACTAGATGCAAGTAGGCTGATTTCAAGTACTTGACTTTTTGTGTAGAACTGTGCAAATCATTTGGAATTGTGAATACCTTTGAGGATTCTATGGCACAGGAAAAAGACTGACTGTCTTGAATAAATCATATATTTTTTGATCCTCTGTTCACTGGTGATTTGAACAAAGTGGGAGACAGGCTAAAGGGAAAATACAGCAGTTCTGGCATTTCATTGGTTATCAGCCTCCCAGATTGTAAAATATATATGTATTTATATTTATTTTATAATTGAGGTTGATAACAAATTATATATTTTATATAATTTATATATGATACACATATAAATTGTGTGTGTGTATAAAGTGAAATATTTCAACTACCTTAAAACAATTTTGAAAAATTTATTACAAATATATCAGAAGCTTTGAAGTTTTGTATTGTGCTTTGTTTTAAATATGTATTACAGGTTTTGAAGTAGCAATGGTACTGATGTGGTAGTGTATTACTCTTTTTTTTCATTCATGTTTTTTATCTCTCAGACCTATTAATCCATCAAGAACATTGAATCTAGAGAGTGGGGTACGTTTGATAATGGAATAAATGAAAAGATTGGATTTCTTGCCACTGGTGTAGTATCACAGTGAAAGAAAGGGGAAAAAATTATACATTGCAGTAGAAGTGAAAAGTTGGCTTTTTTTCAAAATAGTGTAGGTTTGGTTTTTTAGCTCTGTAAGCACTATAGGCTCAGTAGTGGCTGCATGATTTAAATTCTTCAAAAGCTCATTTTAAAATATAATACTTTTTTGGCTTTTGCATATTTTGTTTTTTGACTTATTTAAGCCACCTTCAAAATAGTTTACAATTCAGTTTTGGTCCTTCGTCACCTTTGTGCTGCACTGTTCCTTCTAATGGGCAGCCTGGCGAATTTGAACCAAATGAAAACAACCCTTAACTATATGGTGGAGTTCATTTTTATCATGATTAGGGTACTGCATGTCACCACTGCCTTAATTACATCAGTATTTCTCAGTGTTATTTGCTGAAAATATTAATTTGATTCTGAAATTTTGCCATGGGGAATGAATCACCCCTTCCTTATCATGCATGAAAACTGCCTTGCTCTATAGAACTTTCTTAATACCAGTGGCAACAAGCAGTGTTTGTCACCTTTGAAATCATTACAGACCCTGTGTAAGTATACAGTTTTAGTAAGTAGTTGATGGTAAAATGGCTGGTCTGTTTTTTCTTCTTTTCTTCCTATATATAACTCAAGATCTGTAAGTATTCTTCATTGTCAACTGGTTTTATAGAAAGAGTTCATTAAACAAAGCCTACTCTTGAAAGTATGAAAGTTAAACAGGAGTCCATTTTGTGTATATTCTTTGTCTCTGATTTCCAGAATGTGGAAGAAGGAGGTGCAGCTTACCAAGCGGGCTTAAAAGCTGGAGACCTGATTACTCATATCAATGGAGAGCCAGTGCATGGTCTTGTTCATACGGAAGTCATTGAGTTGTTGTTAAAGGTAACTCTTGGACAACTGGGATACAAAAGCACTTGTTTTCACCAAGGATTGAGGGGTTATTTTTGTTTCCTTCAGAGATCAGTTACCAGATTTTGTGGTTGTTCAAGTACAAACTCTTAAGCTCCCGTTGCACAGAACTGGAGAAAGGTCAATGACTTCATACATCCTGCTACGATTTTCTCTGAAATAAACTGGCACTACTGCTGAGATAGTTGAAGTACATTCAAGGCACTGACACAGAGAGATGTCCCTGTGTCTCAAAAAATCTGACATTTTCAGGCACTTTCTTGAATTTCTCCTTCTTCATCAGCTAATTCAGGCTTTTAATGATGATGCTACTTCTCATTTTCTCCTTTTAAACTGAAATCAGTGAGGAAAAGTGGAAACAAAGAATATGAAATATTTTCTTGCCTACTGTACAGGAACTTGTCTTTCATAATCTTAAGGCCCAAAAGGATTTTGTCTCATATATAGCTAGGCATGTCCCACAGAGCTTCTTTGCTTAATGAAGTTCTGATCCTGCAGTTGGACTTTTATGTATAATCTATGACATTTTTCTCTTGTGGAGGTTTCTGAGGTCTGTCCTATTAGAAGATTATAATTTTTCCATAAAAGCAAACAAACAAAAAGACCAGCATTTTAATGAACAGTAGTGTCTTAGCTTTTCACTGCAGCTCATCATAATTGCAGTTTTTATGTAATCTTTTCTGCACAGACTAACATAAGTCAGAATTATTTTAGACAGCTGTGTATTTACTGCCTGCCTTATTGACAATTTATGGTGTTGCACGCAGAGCTTTCTTGTCAAAAGTAGTCAGTTATAAAAGAAGATTGGAAATCAGTGAAGTGGTGGGGAAATATAAAGAGCTGAGGAAAGATGAAAAATACACTTTTCCTTAAGTCTTCATTTTTCTTCTCTGAAACCAGGAGGAATTTCCAAGTCTTCCAATTTTGCAAGAAATGTGTAAGAGAAAATCTGGAATTTTAGACAGCTGGCTGTGCAGTTGTTTTCTGTGTCAGATGCAGAAAAAGAGAAACATGACAACCCTGCACACTACTTACAAGAGTAAACTCAAACTGAGAGATTGCTGTTTATCCAAATGTGCTGTATCATAAATTAATTTGGGATATTGGAATTCCTTTGAAAAGTTCACTGTAGTAGTGTACGGTGCTGGGCAGGAGATACAGATTTTTAATATATAGATATTTCCAGTTGGTTTTATTTATTGAATTAGCCATTCATGCCAACAGTCCTAAAAAGCTGAACTTAAATTATATTTGTTAATCTCTTTTGATCAAGATAAAAGGACTGTTTGGGATTGATAATGAAGATTAAGTTTTCTTCTCCATTTTATCATTGTAACAGTTGGTATCCTGAGGCCTGAATGGCCAGTGAATGAACCACTGCACAGTGACCGCTGTTCTTTGTGGGAAAATAGGATGTTTCTGTAGAAGCTTTCATCTTGAAAATTGCCATCTTGGTCAATCCTTGGACTCTTCCTGTCTAGCTACAGTTATTGGTATTTCTCCTTGTCCTGAAGCTGGAACGGAGGAAGTTTAGGAAATTTGGCAGAATTTGAGGATTTTTCTAATCATTGTGTATCTGACATAAATTAGCCTGGCACCACCTGCATAGGGTTCCCTACACTGCCAGCTCTCACTCTGATGCCAGAGTTCTGTCTTGTTGCATTCACATTTGTCATGTAGCTTCAAATTAAGGCAAAGTCATCCTGCATTACTGAGGCCTAAAGGTTCCTCCTCCTTTTTTGGCAGAGTGGTAACAAAGTCTCAGTAACAACAACCCCTTTTGAAAACACTTCCATCAAGACCGGACCTGCCAGGCGAAATAGCTACAGGAGCCGAATGGTCAGGCGCAGTAAGAAAACCAAGAAGAAAGAGAGTTTAGAGAGGTGAGTAATCCTTTAGTTTCATGATGAATATGTTTCCTTGTATTTTTGTATATGTAACAATTTAAAATATGAAGTTAATACAGTTCTCTCTTGTCTTTTACATCTTTTTACCTTCTTCTATGAGAGCCTACGGTTGTCACTTTTTCTCTCCAATCCTGTTTTACCTAAACTAGATCTGTTAAAATAACTCCTAAAAATTTTGCATGGCACACACATAGATATGAGGAAGAAAGTGAATAACTGAGGTTGCATCTTAATTTATATTATTTTATATACCAATTTATATACAAAATGTATATCTTTTTGCACTTGTTTAATTAAACTTTCTAATCCTAAGTTTATGGCCATTTTTAGTTCTCTGGAAAGTTTATGTGTATTTTGTAAATACATTGCTAGTACTTTATAGATATTCTTTCAGTTTTGGTGGGCTCTTATATTAAGAAAATAAAGATTTATACTCATAAGGAGCTAACCATTCTTATGAAATACAGTGAGTAGATTTTAGTACAAATAGATTTAGTTACAATATCTATCCCACCTATTAGCAAATCAATATATTTTCTAAACTTCACACTCTGCAGCATGGTTTGCTTTCATGTAAACATAGATTTAATACTTGCTTTTCTGAGTGTGGAGAGAGGAAGCAATGTCAGCTTGCAAGAGTTTTGCCTGTGGAAATGGTTTCTTCTGTGAATCTTAACATCTGATTAATATTGTGCTCTTCTCACGCTAGGAGAAGATCTCTCTTTAAAAAGCTGGCCAAGCAGCCCTCTCCTCTTCTTCACACCAGCAGAAGTTTCTCCTGCCTGAACCGATCACTTTCATCAGGGGAGAGCTTGCCTGGGTCTCCAACGCACAGCTTATCTCCTAGATCACCTACCCCAAGCTATCGCTCTACTGATTTTCCATCTGGTGAGTGTGAAGAAGTGGAGGGCAGAGGAAGAGGACTTGAAGTGTGCTCTACTTCTTGTGAGCCTCCCAGATCTGTTAACACTTTGCTAAGAGTAGTCAGCTCTAACAAGCGTAATCATTGAACATGTGGTTTCTGTCTGGAAAAAGCGAAAAAGATTCCTGATGCAACATCAAAGATGTTTTCATGATACAGAAACACCTAAAAGGGAACTGTCTGCTATGTTTGTCCCAGAGTTTAAATCCAAGTCCAATGGCTCTAAGTTCAGTAATATACAATCCAAGTTTGGAGTAAAAGGTGGAATCTTGGCTGATTTAAGAGGAATGAAAGTGAGGAAAAAGTTGCTACATATTGGAACTAGCATGGGCACTTATGAATGCAGTTTTATTGCTGAAAAGATTGTCTGGGTGCTGAAATATGCATCTTTCTGGCTCCTAAAAGCCTGCCCCTTTTTTCTGTTTTACTTCTGTCATGATTTTACTGTGTACTAAAAGTGACAGCTGTTGTACAGTCCCTTAGCAAAGGTAAATTTGGAAAGCCTTGATCATTGCTTTGAAGTTGCAGAAAGCATTAGCTATTCTATTTAAAAAGAAGGAAATGATAACTTAAAGGAGATGATGAAAGAGAGGGGGGGAAAGGGAGAAATAGTAATGTAATTGGAATGATGAGGTGTTTACAGCCCAGTTGCTCAAAACCTTCCAAATTTTGGAATATTGTGGCAGCAGACAGCACATAGGCCTTTTGGACTAGTGAAAGCTCTGTCTCTCACTGAACATTTAGACAAGATTCAAAAAATCTTGCTAATCTTACCTTTGGTTTGTTTGTTCTTTTTGTAGGTACTAACTCTTCCCAGAGTAGCTCCCCTAGTTCAAGTGCTCCCAATTCTCCAGCTGGTTCAGGACACATAAGACCCAGCACTCTTCATGGCTTGGGTCCAAAGCTTGGTGGGCAAAGATACAGGTCAGGAAGACGCAAATCAGCTGGCAGCATTCCTCTCTCTCCTCTTGCACGGACACCTTCTCCAACACCCCAGCCGACATCTCCTCAGCGATCTCCATCACCATTGCTAGGCCATTCAATTGGAAGTACTAAAATAGCTCAGTCTTTCCCTCGCAAAATGCACTCTCCTCCAACTATTGTAAGGCATATTGTTAGGCCAAAGAGTGCAGAGCCACCAAGATCTCCACTATTAAAGAGAGTCCAATCTGAAGAGAAACTCGCACCCTCTTATGGCACTGATAAGAAACACTTATGTTCACGAAAACACAGTCTGGAAGTGACCCAGGAAGAAGTGAATAGAGAGTTGTCCCAAAGGGAAGTAACTCTTCAGAGCTTGGAGGAGAATGTATGTGATGTGCCGTCACTCACGCGAGTCAGGCCTGCAGAGCAGGGCTGCTTGAAACGACCCATCTCACGAAAATTAGGTAGGCAAGAATCCATTGATGAGCTAGACAGAGAGAAGCTGAAGGTCAAAATAGTTATGAAAAAGCAAGATTTTGCTGAAAAAGCCAGTGCTGCTATACATGAACCTAGCAGTGAACCAGAAAATCCCAATACCTTAAGACTGGAAGAAAGAGACAAAAAAGCATTCCAGAAGGTATTAGAAAGATCAAATCAGTTTGAGAAGGTATTAGAAAGATCAAATCAGTTTGAAACAAAAATAGTTGCTTTGGAGACCCAGTCAGCTGGTGGCATACTCAAAGACACCCTTCAAAAGAATGCAAGCTTGAGATCAAATGATGGTGTTGCTTTAGATACACAGATGTTGTGTCATGGGTCTCCACCTAATGAACTCAGTCATATTTCTTATGATTTCAAAAGAATTTCCCCTCCATGTACACTGCAAGATATGCTACCTCAGTCCTCTGACAGGATGCTAAATGGAAAGGGAGAAAACACAGATAAAAATGTACCAGCAAAAGAATTTGTTAAATTTGAAAGATTAGATGGTAAACTTGCAAATATTGATTATCTTAGAAAGAAAATGTCCATTGAAGAAAAAGATGACAGTGTCTGTCCAGTGCTAAAACCCAAACTGACATCAAACATTCATGAATGCCTTCAACTTAATACCGGCAGACCCATAAACGTACAGCAGGACTCCACTACAGTTGCCGATGGTAGAACATTTATTGGCAGCGCACATGCGGCTCAGATTAACTCAGTTTCTTTTGTTCCTCTCAAGACCTTGAATGGCCGATCAGACATCAGTGTGGAAAAATCAGCCCTTATTTCCACTGAGGCTCCTGTCAGAAAAAGTCCTTCAGAATATAAACTCGATGGGAGGTCTGTTTCCTGTTTGAAGCCCATAGAAGGCACACTAGACATTGCCTTACTTTCTGGGCCACAAGCTTCGAAGACTGAACTGCCTTTGTGCAGTGTCCTTCCCGAAGGACAGAGCACCAGCAGTGATGGGGGATCTTCTAAACCCTCAGCACCACAGGGGAGTGGTGGAAAGGCAGAACTGGCCTGTGAGAAAGAGCAGTCATTAAGCTATTCAAAATTTGGCAAAGTCAGCGTATCAGAGCCTCAGGTTCTGCAAACAAGCAAGAGTTCTCCAAATCTACCAGTCATCCCTGCAGCTGCAGAAGTAGTAACAGAGAAAAAGGTTTCTAGTCCAGCTACTAAAGGCAGTATTTCTGTTACCGAAGCTGTTCAAAAGAAAGACACATCCCCTTCAAAACAGAAGGACAATTCAATGGAGGTGAAGTCTTGTGTTATTCAAAGTCAGAGTGTTAAAACTACTGAAATGCTCTCCAAACTCTCTGCTGTCCAAAACACTCCTGAAAAAGCTGTAGGAAAAGAGAAGCAAATACAAAAGGAGTTGCCTGCCAAACAGCTGGTAGCCCAGAGAAGTGCTGAGCCTGTCCCTGCGAAGGTGGAGGTGATCAGGGAATCATCTCTGAAGGTATCTGTCTCAGATGTCGTGATAACAAGCTACTCCAAAAGCAGTGAAAAAAATTGTGCTGATTTTGCCATTCCACCTCAGATGCAGACAGCTGACCCCAAGGCACAACATAAGGATGGCAGAGAATCACTGAAACAGTTAGGCAAAGATGACAGTAGTGTTGCTAGTAGTTTTGTGGAACGGGATAAAACCATACAGAAAGTTCTTGGTGAGTCTAAGAAAGTTATCATAGAGTCAAAGACTGAAGCTCTTCCACCCAAATGGCCCATGCAACCCTCCATAGATTGTGATCCTAAAAATGAGAAGTCTGCACCAGTTTCCTCTGTGCAGAAGGACAATGCCAAAGATTTAGGAAAGAAAGATCAGAAACAGCCCACTGACATAAGGCTTCAAACTACTGAGAGAGAGCAGTCCAGCCAGGTTCCTCGGCAGCAACTTAATGCTTCAGGCTCCCCTGCTGTGAGAGACACTGTAAGCAGAAGCTCTGCTGTAGATGTTCATATAGGTGTTCAAGAACATGTGAAGCCTGTTGCCACCTATGTGGAAAGCAGCAGTAATAAACACAGGCCAGTCTCTGATATGAGTTCCTCTAAGTCTAAGTACTTGGATAAACAGACATTGTCACAAAAACCATACACTCCAACCATAAAAGAAAAAGAAACTATTATTCAGCTGTCTACCAGCTCCTGGAAAGATGGGAAGCTTGCCAGTAAAAATGTGCTAGATCCCCTTTCTTCTGTCTCAGGCTCTTTGAGAAAAATGAACAATGAGCATGTGCAGGCCGAAAGGCCTGTAAATTTGGAGCATGGTTCAGTAGCCACGCTCCAAATGAGCAGCATCACCCCTGACGCCAAACCCAAATCCTCTGCTGTTGGCCTGGTACCAGCAGGCCGAGAGAGTTCTAAGCAGATGCAGAGGCAAGAACCAGCAGGGCAGATGCAGAGGGAAGAACCAGCAGTTTTGGGGGAATCTGCTGATCAAAAGCAACTTCAGCTCAGTGAAAAACAAACCACATCTCCAAAGTTTTCCACTGTGAAAGACTGTCTCTTGCTGAACAAACAGGCAGACAGAAATCCTAGTAACCAGATGATGTCTGCAGACAAAAGACCTGAAGGAAAAATATGCACTGATGCACTTTATGTTCAGTTTGACAGTGGGAAAGTAGAGCCTACCGTTTGCCTCGCAAACTGTGATGCCAGAGGGAAAGGAGCAGAAAAAGCAACTGCAAGTATCAAAAGCTCTCAAGATCCAAAAGGGAAAGGACAAGTTAATCAAAAACAGCCAGAGGATGCAAACAAGCAGATTGCAACCAAACATGTGTCGGCTGCCAGTGGGCAGAGTTCTTGTCGTGTAGCTGCAACACCAGGAAAGCCACTGACTTCTTCAGCCAATTTCTCTGAATATAGACAAGAAATACCTGTTTTGTCATCAGTGAAGAGTGATGCATCTTCAGCAAAGGTTAAAGCAGGCTTACCTGAGCTTCCTGCAACCTGCAAGGAACTAAGTAAGAAAAGCACCTCTTCCGCAGGGAGCGGTAAGGCAGAAATTACTAAAAGTGTTTCTCTGATGGCCTTGCACAGTGCTGCTGTTGCTGTAGAAGCCCACCACCCTGCTTCAAACCTTGGAGGTAAACCTGGAAATCAAGAGAAGTCTTTTTTTCTTAACACTGTGGAGGTAAAGGGAAAAGATGCTGTTCAAGCTCAGCTGTCTGCTTCAAGAAAACAGAATGTAGGTAAAGATTTATCCAGGTCAGCCACTACACCTGACCGCTCTAACGCACTTTCTAACGACAAAGACTCAGCTCGGCAGCGGCGAGGAAAGGAACCTTCACGGAGTAGTCCTCACAAAAAATCCTGTTAAGTTTTAAGATCTAGTAGGTGTGAGCTCAAGACTAGCTGAAACAATGTCAATATATTGGACTGCCTTTAAACCAGCACTGTGTCATGTCTTTGTGCAGCAAAACTTTCATGTCACTGCAGAAAAAGGATGGGGATATGTAAAGAGAGGACTTTTTTCAAAATGCCTTCCCAATTGTAACCGGTAAAACTGTTACCATATAGTATTTGTACAAAAATACCTTTACAGCTGAGAGCTGTTGAAGAAAAGATTTCCTTTGTAAATACCTAGCAATGTGTTTGGGGTTTGAATGTAGCATCTATACTTCGCTGCTGATTGCATTGTTTACTCTCCCCTTTTTTAAGATAGTTGCTTTGCTACTTATTTGCCAGACTCAGATATGAAACTGAATTATTAAAACTCAGACCTGGCATGGACATGCACCAGCCTTGGTCTGACTGGAAAAAACAGGCCACGTTTTTACTTACTAAAAATCCTAGCTAGAGGTTGAAAAAGTACTAGTACAGAATAAATGTGGTGACTTATTGTGAGTTTTTACATGTATTTTTAATAATCCGATTTTGATAGTACTGTACCTGACTGACTGACTGCTTCACCAGATCCTAACACAAGACCTAACTGCATCTCCCTACCACACAAAGCCTGTCTCAGCGTGGGTGTTGTTAAAGCACCGGGAGGACCACTTGGTTGTCAGGGCATCCCAGCATGAGTCATGTTCTCTGCTGAGATGGTGGTTCTCATCTTGTCTCTTGGGAGCGTGTTCTGTAACTTTCCCCTCAGACAAGGCTGAGACTCTAAAGCACATGCTGTGTGTTTAGTTTTTGCTGCAACCCTCTCCTGAGTTCCTTGAGCTTCTTTGAATTCAGACCCTTACAGTGTGAGGCACAAGTATAAGCACATGACTTGCAGTACTAGTATGTTCATCCCTGGTTTTTAATACATTTAGAGAATACACATTGTCATGGTATGTAGGTCTGCATAATTAGCTTCATGCAGCTGTAGCTTTTTTCTGTTTTATGACAAGTAAGGTAAAAAAGAAAAAAAGCTATTTCAGTATCTTCAGAAAAGTTCAGGACATCTGATACATTTTAATACATAGCTGGGGCCTTATGTTGTAGACTAAACTTGCTGTTTTTAGCAAGTAATTCTGGGTTTCACATTCATTTCTAAATGCATTAAGTAGCTCCATACATTTCATAACATAATCTTTTTATTTGTATGCAAAAAAGTAAATACTGTAATTCTAAAAGAAGCATTTTGTAACAAAGGAACCTGTTGGAGCTATTTGGTGCTAGAATGTGACCGTCTTTTTACTTTTGCTAAGCCTTATTTAAATTTTGTATACTGTGGAACATGTAGACTTTGATCGCTTTAGCGTGGAGGTATTTAGTTAGTTTTGAAGGATGAAAGGTAAAATTTGAAACATGTATAGAAGCACTACAAAATACCCTTACCAGATGCGTGTTTTTTAACGATGGGGATCAATAAAATGGTAGTTTTGCTTATTTCTGTTATCTGTACCCACAGTGGAGGTAGGCCCCTACCTGTTTCATCAGGGCTTACAGATTGTCTTTCTGTCTCAAAAGCTAGAAAATTGTTCATAAAAGCACAGTGTAATCTTGACTTGGAGGTTTGTATGACAACTGACAATGCACAGAATTCATTTTCCTCTGGTGAAAACTTCGTTATACTGATTAGTTGAGTTGGATTACAGCAAACCTGTCATGGAAAGGTAATATCACAAACAACTCCTGATCTTTCATGTGGCAGTAGAACATTCATACTGCTTTTGATGCATTCACAGAGGAGCTACTAGTGTGAGCAATGGATGGTATTTTTTGAGCAGTTTAAAAGATAAAATGGTCTCAACATTTACAGTTCATCTGTGCTTTGGCAGTTACTACAAATGAACACTAAAGCACTTCAAAATAACATTTCTGTCTGGGAGGTATTTCCTAGTTTACAGTCTTTGCATTTTTTCAACTATCCTCTTAGTTCCTTTTAAGCACATCTATCTTTGTTTACAGTATACCTTTATGTATATTTTGTATAGTTCATTATCACTTCTGACAAATAAGTTCTTTGCATTTTGAAAGTGTAACAGTGCTTAAGCTTGTGTTTATGTAGTACCTGTTTGTTGGTGTTTGCCTTATTAGTGAGCTGTTAGATCCTTCTGCCTGTGTTCTACTTGGTCAGTCTTTATGTGATTGTAGATCTGATGTGTTCTTTTGTAGACGTCCTGCTGTAGATTCCTCAGCTTGAAAAAAAAAAAAAAAAAAAATTGTTAGGGTCTGTGCAATAAAGTGTTTGCAGTCTTATTTTCTCTAAGAAACTCCTTATGGATGTCATAATTGTTGTATATTGAACATGAGTATTTATACTTATGCAGTTGTATAACATTGAAATAAAAATTCAGCATGAAACACTATTGTGTTAGTGTTTTTCCTTGAACTACTTTCACTTCTGTAACTTCAGGCACATCTCTGCTCTGCTTAGAGGTGGACAGTTGTTTGGTTTTATTCTTTGGGGCAAACTCAGTGCACCCCTTAAGGTGCATGCTGGCCGAACGTTTTGCCTGAGGAAATGCAGTGTTGTCTGGAGACGGAGGAGGTCTGCATAGTATCTCATCCCAGGCAGTGGCTGGAGCCACTGTTCTGCTGTTGGGTAGGTAGGCACAGGGTGATGATGGTCACTAACAACGGCATTGGCTATAATGTGACATTTAAATATTTCCTCCAAAACATGTGTCATCATTCATTACAATAGTTCAGTATGTTTTTTAGTACCATCTCAAAATACCTCGTCTTTCTACGTATTTTTATTTACACTAAATTTTCAGCCTTAACAAATTCCTGGAGCATGTGTAAGTGTAATGTTTTCTTCAGTTTTGAAATTTCTACCCCTTGAATACCATCAAATCTTCCTTTATCCTTTTTTTCTCAGAAGATAAAGTAGATGTGGTGAACCAGACAGGGGAGATGGAGCAGAGCACTGTAGTATCCAGTGGCCTCTTTGATGAAGAAAAATCCTTTTGGTGGGAGGAGCAACAGGGAAGGCTTATAGCTGCCCTGATTTTCATTTTTCCACTTCTTGCAGAGGAGCCGTGCCCGTTAAAATACACATGTCTTTACTCTTCCATTGCTGGCAGCTCTGCACAGCTGGTTGGCACATGCCAGGAACTGTTTGCCCATCAAGGGGGTTGGTTTTGTTCACATTTTACTGTTGCTTTGTTTTCCCTATGTTTTTCCTGTGTACAAAACCAAGTTGTAAGGCCCTGATAACAAGTGAATGTCGTAAACACCCATCTTGACATGGACAGGGATGGGCTGATGATGACCAGGGAGTGTTGACCGAGAATGGAGGCTGCAGAGGAGGCAGGATAATGTCTGGTGAGACCACTCCTCTATTCCTGAAGCACGTAAACAAAGACCATCTGTGCGCTGTGCACCATGTGCCTGTGACAGATCACTGCTCACTTGGTCAGCCCCGGGGGGGGGGTCCCCGCTCCCGTGGGTCGGCCGTGGGGGGGGGGGGGGAAGGGCAGTGAGTCCCCTGGACCCCCACAACTCAACTCATTTCTAGAACATTTCTGAACATTCCTGAGCACATACTGCGCCTGCTCAGTGATGACAGACTCCTGCCTATGGGGCGGGTACATCAGGTTATAAAAAGGGAAAACAAGTTTTCGACACACGCCCGCCACCTGAAGACTGCAACTACGAGCAGAGAAGATAGCTGAATCTAAGAGTGGTGATATCTTTGTTCTCTCTCTTTTCTTTCTCTCTTTCTTTTCCTATCACTCTCTTTGTCTCTAACTTAATTTTTGGCACATTAGGGTAATACTGTCACATGTTTTGCTAACCCCTGTTCTGCTAAGTTTTGAGCATTGTTATGACCTTTGCCAAGCCTCTATCTTTTGTAGTTCCACTGAGTTTTAAGTAAATTTATGATTGGTTTGAACCTCTAAAGTAATTGTTGTTACTTCTGATTACCGCACAGAGAATTAAAAAGTTAATCTCACCCTGAGCAGCACGGGACACAAGCGCAGCAGTGTTACGGCATCACTTTTCCTGTTTTGCTCTCTGTTTGAAACCAGTAAGTAAGGGGAAGCTGCAGGTCACTCCCAACCTTCCAGCTTGCTTCAACCCAGCCAAAGGCAGATAGTCTGCAAAATTGGTGCACTGGCAGGGGCTGTGATGAGTCCAGGAGGGGAGAGCAGGATCCAGCAGCTCAGGGAAAGGAAATTGTGCTATAGTAGAGGATTGATTCTGGATCCTGTTGCTCTGCCTGCTGCGCCATCTCTGCCTGCAGACACCAGCAGTCGCCTCTGCCTGGGGAGGCACATGCAAGGGTGGGTGTCCATTGCGTTCAGGGGCAGAGGAAAGGGGTGGTGTAAGGGGTTTGTGTTGAGGAAGAAATTGGAAGAGAAAGGTTAAAAGTATTACATGTCATGGCCTGGTATCCTCGCTTCTACTGTTACAAGAAGAGACTGCACCTCACCTGCGACAGGAGTGCTTTCATGGTCTGCAAGGGAAATGTGAGCTGCCTTCTTCAGCACTGAACGTCCAGTTTGCTATGCTCTCTTGGACCTGATATATTTGTTCCATGTCGTTTGCTAGACTTAGCAGGGATACCAAACTTGGGATTTGGATGGTAGCTCAGATAGCAGCTCAGAATAAATCACAGGACAGGAATATACTATATGGTATATGGATGTATGTCCCAGTTCATGGCTTGGGTTAGCAACAGTTTTTCTTTCCACTGAGTATAGCTATCATGTAGTACTCGATAGCATTGACCAGCTCAATGTCCCAGACATCTGCCAAGAATGGATTAGAATGAACTGAGGGTAGGAGGTGACATTAGAGGTTATGGTTCAAGCTGCACAGTGTTGGGAGCATCAGAACAGTGGAGAAGGCTGCAGAGTAAGAAGACAGTAATAACGTAGGTAAGTTGAAGGGCTTGCTGTGTGCTAGAAAAGTGCAGGTGTGAATTGGATCAGG